GTATGCACGCACGGCAGCCCGGTGAGCAATGCAATACAGTGTGACATCATCGGTGAGCAATGCTTGCTTCCCTCAAGACAGAAAATGACAGTCCGTTCATAAACGCACAAGAGGAATTCTGTTGTGGCTGCCGCAGCCAGAGTGAAATGCCTCGAGGCATTTCACTCTGCGCACCGCTCATGGATTCTCCATTCTCGGCATTATGCAGACTTAATGAAATACTTGCTTTTTCTTGGAGTTTGAGGGCACTCCGGCACCTAGTAAATGTAAATTTCCCCCTTGGGAAATAAATGCTTTTATTGGCTTAGTAATCACCTCGCTAAGCGAACAATCGTTTCTCTGTAGGCCTGTTGTGCCCGCAGATTCTGATAAAGCCCATATTTTCCCCAGAATCATCGTTAGTATTAGATAGCCCGATGCAAGCCTTTCAGGGTGACATTTTGTCTGTGATGCCCTCATTCTCCATCTTCTGCGTGAAAGGACCGAATACGCGAAGTTGATTTTTCTGTGTTTTACTTTGCTTGACGGCAGCTGCAGTTACTGCGGTCATCACTTCCTCCAGCAATAGTTCGGATACTCCTCCTAGTAACGAGCCGTACTCTCTATTAATACGGTGAGATCCAGAGATACTTTTTGCTGCCAGCTTCTATTGAGCTTCTGATTTCCCACGTTTTTTTGCTTCAAACTTTAAAGGACCTTCCTGTTGGAGAAACACTGTCTCTTCAGAGCTGAACAAGTCTGTGGTCCACCTTATCTTGCCTGCGTATACAGCTAATGGCGTTCGAATTTTATTTGATGTAGTGGCTGAGTCCCGGAAGTAATTCTACTTAGCGGAGGGAGTTGAAGACCTGCTTCACAGCGTTGGTAGGATAATGAATGCAAGCCCTTGTTTACGCTGGCAGTTGTCGGCATGGGCAACTGCCATTCATGATCTCGATAACGAAAAACAAACAACTAGCAGCAATGTATTTGCTTTTCATTGATTTCGAAGTGTAGACTCTAAGTCTCTCTACAAAAGAATCATTCTGCAACTCCGTGGCTCTTTCACCCAGGCCTCAGCGCACTAGGAACGCACAGCGACTGAAATTGCTCCAGCTGGTAATGAGCAATGTATCTCAAGAACTCCTGCAGCGATACATGGAAACAGGCAACTCCAGTGCAATCCTAAGAACCAGAAGTATTTAGTCCAATCGTTTTATGCGCAGCATTCCGCTAAGTCACCGTAACATGCTTTGATGGAGCAGCGATAAAATCAGGCATGAAGAGCAGCGAACAAACAGCGGAACAGGATGTACTTAAGTCAAGTGGCTTCCCACTAGGGGCACTTCGGTACTGCCCCAATTTGAAGCTGACAGAGATCCGTCCAGAAAGCTCAACACACTGTTGGCAATGCAGCATACGATGTGAAAATTCCATTGACTGAACTAGGTGCAAGCTTATTAAACTGAAATGACAAAGCTCCGCACACTTGGTCTGCGTCGTACCGTCTGTGTGCCATGGGAGAGGTATTGTACTTTACAAATAAGCTGCAGTATTTCGCTTCATATTACTTTGTTTCCGTGTGAACACTGCCTGCAGGCCAAGGAGTCGTGAACAAAATAAACTATTGGCGTGGACACTGTAGTACCAGGGGACGGCGTGGAGCGTACTATGCCTGCCTCTACGCCGGCGGACGAGATATATCACCTATTCGCGAAACGACAAATTCAAGTCAGCTTGTCACCAAAATAGATCTGGCCCACAACGTCGCAGGCTGATGCCTCGATGTCCTGAGAGTAGTCTGCCTCTGCGCCGGAGCGGTGCGTCCGCAACCGGTGTGGCATCTCGGTAAGTCTGCTGAATTATGCCGTGGCGTGGTGCCGTGCCTAGATTTCTGGCACTATGGAATCGACGCTAATTCTGTAGAACGCCCAGCTCAGCCGTCTATTGCTGGTCTTTAGATGCCCACCTTCTACTGTTGGCCTTTCGACGCCCACCGCAACCCATTGGTGTGCTCATGCACTACAACCTCCCCGCTGCCAAGCTCGAGGTCACCCTTGTGAGCTTATCGCATACAGTGCGCATCATTCCTGCGTGCTGTGGGTGTTCGCCCTAGTTGCATACACTATTTCCACTTATGCAGGAGGGTAGCCTCGTTTATGAATCAACGGTGCCTTAACCATTACTGCTACTTCGCTGTTGTTGTGAGTATACGTAATGCCTAATGCCTTTTGTTACTACCTAATCTGCTTAGCTTCAGAGCGGTACTGTCAACGCTGTAGCGAACACGCAGTGGACATGCAGGTGCTCATGCTGCCGCATGGGCACTGCCATCTCCCGAACCTCTTCGCGATACGAATAGGCATTAGAACACACAGAGGTGTTGGGCGGTGGAGGCTCGGGCCGGCGAGCATAGTTGGTGAGGCTCGCGAACACAGCACGCGCAAGCGAAGGCGGGGCATCTGGCACGGTGCTGAGGTCATTCCTTTGTGAAGCTCTCTTTGGTGACGCTTCGCCGCTTGACAACTTACTGTGCTTCATCATCAGAGCCTCGCTGATTACAGATATATCCCACAAGCTGCAATTCGGCCAGGTTCCCAGCAACGTCACGCGCATAGGACCGTGGCTGCTTCAAATGGAAGCAGGTCAGGGACCCGCGGACGGTCAGGAGCGAGCTGTGACACGCACAAGACGTTCTGGAACTCATACATGACCAGCAAGACTACGCTTTAAGTTGTGCCTATTATACACTGTGAAATGACAAAGGGGGCCAGACGGAGCATTCAAAAATTTGAGCAGTTGTTGGAGGCAGGCAAATGTTTCCTGCTGATCCACACTGTGTCTCCCACGGCATATTCCATTGCGTGTCGTCAAGAGTCCGTATAGGACATCTGCTGATACTTAGCGCGCATGATAGAGGTCTGGGTTCGGAATTACTTCGTAATTGGTGTTGCGAAAGTAGCATCAAGAGCGCCAACAGTGTCCAGGTCTGCCGCGGTAAGGGGATTTTCCCCAATCATGATCACGAAGGGTGAGAACTCCGTCGAGGAATGACCTGTAGCGTTTTAAGCTAAGTGGAGTCCCAGGAGGAGCTCCTCCCAGTCGTATTCATCGGACTGAAGGTATATCCGCAGCATCTGCTCTGCAGTGCAGTTAACTCTGCCGTTTTGACAGCGCCCGTTTTATGTTGAAGGAGTTGTATAGCTGGAGTCAAATGTCCCGATGAAAACGAGGATCGCTTCCAGAAATAAGCACGTGAGGGGATGGATGATAGCTGAAGAAACGGTTTTCCAAGGGTTCCACCGTATCAGAAGCGGGGTATGACCTCTTGATTGCAATAAAGTAAGCCACCTCGCTGCGGGAATCAACCAAGACGAAAGTAGAGTCGACCCTCACGGTAGTAAGGGGCAATTCAGTCATAAAATCGAGATTCCTGTGGTTCCGACGGCGCGACGGAATGAGGTGCTCTTGGAGAAAGCCTCTGGGCTTGTGGTTTAGTGCTTACGAGGTGCAACATTGCGTCCAGGACACAACATAAGCCGTGTTGGAGGCTCGCATGCCTGGGCAATAGTAATACTTGCTAAGAGTGAGGAAGGATTTCTTCTGTGCGCGGCGCCGTGCAGTTAAAGGGTCTTGATATAGTGAGAAAAAGTAAGTGACTTTCGCAGGGAACTGCAGAACGCCGATGCACCAAAGACCGTTGATGGAAACACGCAAGCACGCGGCCTCGTAAGGGAAGGAGAAGAGGCTGTTGCGGAAGTCGACGCGGAGGCCCTCGCAGGACTGTGCGATCGCAGTGGTAGACGCGTCACAGGAAGTCGAACATCTTTGGTACGAACATGACCAGCCTTCGCCATTAGGGGTGCCGGTACTGTGCTGCGATGCTGGCAACAGGTCTGCAGCAACAGGTATCGGTGGCGGCGATGCAGGCGGCAACGGGGACGGCGGAGCCCGTTTCCTAGGCACTCGAGAAAGAAGCCCGGCCAACACGCGGTAGTCGGCAGGAGCCCTTCGCGTGTTGAGGGCCGGGTCGCGCTGGCTCTGAAGTTCGGTGGCTGGGAGTAGTAATGTCAAGGACTCCACGGCAAGGCTGTTTGGCGGCCGCGGGTCGACAAAGAAGAAAGGCGCGATTGTGTCCGCGACCTGACTTTGCTCGCCTTGGAGATAAGTGCTGGTGAGGCCGGAAAATTGTCCAACGAAGTCAAGCCAACGGGGTGTGCACCTGCGAAGAAGCTTTGCTAGTTTGAGCTGCTGCAAGTGGATAATGGCCTGGTGGTCGGTGAGCCTATGACCTGAGCGAGCCAGGGAAGCTGCGTCCACTTCTCTACTGCTGTCAGGATGGTTAGTCCCTTCTGGTCTTAGGTCGAATATGTTGGTTAACTGGGGTTCATGACCTGGCTGAGGAAGCCGATTGGTTTGCCAGCTCGCTCACGGGCAGCACCGGCGTAGCCTGATGCGTCGGTATGCAACTCGAAAGGGTTCGAGGTATGGGGAACGTGCAGGGTGGTGGATTCAATTAAGCTTTGCTTTAGGCAACGCACCGCCTGTGTGTAAGTGTTCAGCCAACGAGGGGGGTGCAGTTACGAGTAACATCTGCAAGGGATCGGGCGGCATCACGTTAATTAAGGTCGATGAGCATCCTGTAGTACTTTACCGTGGAGAAAAACTGGCGCACCTGGGTCTGGTTCTCCAGCGTTTTGCGCCACATGCGGATAGTCTCTATATTATTTGCTGCAGGCTTAATGCCCTTTGCACGACTGGTCCACGCGAAAGACGTTCGTGTTGCGTGGATCTGCACTTACGGATACCGTCGCTCGGCAGATCCGGCCTATAGACAAGACCGTCGTCAAGGTATGCGATGACGTCCTGGCCGAGTTCGTCGCTGCAGACAGGCGTTTATGTTGGCTTGGAAGATAGCAGGCGCCCCTTTTACAACTATCGTGAGTGCATCCAGCGCTTGGTAGTTAACAGCCATAGGTATCTGGCGATCCCCAGTCTCATCATCCCCCCTATCTAACAGGATGGTGGAGGCGGACATGGGCGAGTACGTCGGCTTTATCCACCAATTTACCATCGGGTTGGCGATTTCCTGTTTGTGTGAGAAGAGATGGTCAGGTGTCACGCGGCAAATGGCCGGCTTGCCGACTTGGTAAGTAGCTTCCCGAGCACTAGGAGAATGCGACAGTCGTGTGGCCGTTTCGAAAGTAGCCCACGGGGACGGCTGTCGGGAAAGATGGCCCCGTGTGCGTGTAAGCAATGCATGCGGGGTGCTGCTCGACTCAGGCGGCTCTATCCATTCGTGGAACTGCGAGAACGTTATCTTAATAGTCGCCCATGGAAAGCCCTCCTCGACTGCCGATTACAGCTGAACTCCGGAGCTCAGGAGGCAGAAGAGACCAGTGTTCGTGGCATAGCGAGTGGCTACCGCGCAGCAGAGCGCCCATTGCCCTTCAACTGTTAATCTGGCAGATGTGGTCTCCCCAGTGTCACGCGAGGCTAGCACGAGGGACAACCCGTGTGAAGGATTTTCGAGGCCCTTCGTCTATATGTTTGCCTAATGAAAGCCAGCATCGAACTTGGACTTTGTCTTGAGCTCACTGTGGGATTTGGGACATTTTGAAGACGGGTACAGAAGCGCTATCGCTTCTTCCGATGTCACGCCCGGCAACTGTTTAGCCACCGAGTCCTACACTGGGTCCGCAGGAGTTCTGTGCGTCTCTTCGCTAGGGCCAGCCGCAATAGAATGGTCCAAGCGAACTCGGAGGATGGGCACACCACCTGCCATTCACATGGGTTCGCAGCTTGCCGGAATGAAAGTGCCATGCGACGTTACGTTCCGTCATCCACCCTAGCCCTAACACCAAGTCGTAGGGTGTCGGTGCTACGAAACAGTCGCCCGAGAAACGTTGTCTTCCACAACACATCGTGAACCCCTTCAAGATGCGATCAACACGTAGTTGGTGTGCGTTGCCTATCATAAAGATCCACTCCTCCGGTAGTTGCCACACGCTGAGCGGTAAGAATTTCAGTACTCTGGGGCTAGCGAAGCTCCTGCATGCCCAGGTGTCTAGGAGCGCATCGCACAGGTTGCCAGTCACTTCCACGCTGGGGACTGCACTCGTCCCCCTGCTGCACAAGACACCAAATGGGTTTGTCTCCTTTGCTGTACATACTTCGCATTACCGCAAAGGCAAGGTGGCGCCCTCCACAGATACAGCGCTCTCGTCATCTAGACGACCTCTCTCAGTCTGATTGAATCCTTTGTTGGTTCAGGCCTCGATACGGGACGTCGTTACGCAATCCGTCTTCTCTGTTCTTCCATAGTCTGTAGGCTCGCGCCTTGCGGTACCGTCGCCGCACCTGCTGGTAGCTCCCTTTCGGGCAATCTCATTCCCCAATCAGGGGAGAAGGGAATGGCGTTAGGCCCTATAGCTGCTGCAAATATCGTATCCTTGCCATAAGCGGTATGCCTAGGACGTCTCCCGCAACGCCAAGGCCACTACGTTTAAACGTTCCGTGACTTTACCAATGGGATACGTCGGCTCGTTTGTGAACCCGGCATCGATGTTCCCCCTTTGACGTGTAGTCGTGCCGCAGTCCCTTGCGTAGTGCTTCATTCTGCCACGACGCATGCGCGTTTCCCCAGAAAGTCGAGCAGCAGCGGCGCGCGAGGAACAGTCCCGTGCCGTATGCCACACGCTTTACACTCATAGCGCTCCAGTTACGTCCCATAGGGCGGGCGACGGAAGATCGTTCTCGTCCCTGTCAATACCGGGCGTTTGACGGTTCACGGTCGCCCACGGGGTCTACAGACCAGCTCGTGCCGCCAGTTGCGCAATTCCTTGTCTGGCTGCGAGGTTTCCAACTCCGCCGGCGCTGCCGGTGCTACTCTCCAACAAGGAAACCGGGCTATTCCCCCGCGTGTTAGCGCCTTGCACAGCTCACGGGATAATCCGGCGAGAAAGGAACTGGCGTGGCCAGCTGCAGGTATCAATGTACCCCCAGCAAGGGTGTTCGCGAACTGCGCCGCCTACTGCTGGTGGTCGCCCGTCCCCCACCAGCTGGCAAGTCGGCGTGGTACTTGCTCCCGGTCCAGATGGGTAAAGCATTGTAAGATGTCACACTTTAATTGGGCCCATTGTGTCATGTCCATGCTGGTGTCCTTCAGGTGCAGCCAATATCCCATGGCGTCCCTTCTAGATATTCTGCGAGCACGAGTTCCCATTTCGGTTTTTCTATCCTTTGCTTCGTAAAGCGGAGCTCAACAATTTTCAGAAAGCTCTTCATGTTTTTAGCGCTTTCGCTGGGTAGCTCCTGGTAGGTGGCGGGAGGATCCGGCTACCTCGTGTGGAACAGAGTGAATTGTAACTGTGCTACGTCCCATGCTAACCGTGCGTAGTGCGCGGGGTCACCGTCGTGGTTATCTCCGGTACACATGGCAAATGAGCGGATGGTATGTGAGTCCTAATGGCCGCCTTCAGCGTCGCTTCAAACGAAGTATTCATTTCCTTAGGGGGTGGTAGTGGAATTTTTGAATTCCCGAGGCTACTGTTTTCCCTCAGTGTGTTCACTGTATAGGGGGGTGGGGAGGTTCTAGACCGCTACGTAGGTACTTAACCGGCGTTCATTTCTTGCGCATCCTCTGCGGACCCTAAAAACTGTATAGTGAACGTGAACTCTTCGACCGTCTGGTCTGATCGTCTGGATACAGTACTGCATGCATTGCTGCTTCAAGAGGCACGTAAGTTCAGTTGTGGGATGCTTTGATAGGTATCCCTTTACCGACCATTACGTCCTTGGTACTGGCCACACTCTTTGCGGCTTGTTCTCTCGGAATTCTGCAAGCATTGAATGTAATTAAAGAAATAGTGTTATCAAGCAGGCCAGCGCCTTTTCAATCGGAAACTGACCCACAACAGAAGTGGACTGAGAGAAGCACGTTGTTTGCCCCGAAACCCGTGATGGTAGGATTCATATGCGGCTAAGAAAAAAAAAGCAGGCCAGTGCTGCAGCACTTGCCACAAGGCTCCAGCACTTGATTACCTGGTAAAGCTTCTGAAACTAGCAAGGGGGCTTAGTTCAAAGTCCGCCCTTCATTTACCGTCGTAGATATGAAATGTCCGCCTGAATAGGCTTCAGATTGTTGCTTGCACGCATTTCTGGAAATCGTTTTGCCCTTATGGGCGAACGCTACTTTTCGACTATTCGAATTAAGAGGTTTAGCCAATGAACGTGGAAGATCCTTCGAACATTTGCAGAGCTGCTCAAGGGGGGTATAAACGATTTAACGCCGGATTAAAGACTTGGGTGAACCAATGGCAGTCAACGCAGAGCAGTAGGAAGCACCGTCATCAGGGTTGTTCATGAGCCTAATTCGACGCGGCACACTGCACGGCAAAATGGCTCGTCTCTTACAGCAGACAGCTTCACACTGTGTCTTCACTCTTGATGCCACTCAACGGCGTCATCCTCGTCCCGTAGAATACACCGCTGAACTACCGGGAGCAAATACGCAAGCCGAAAGCAGCGCCGACAATCCTAAACTTCGTCGTAAGATCTAACATATCAGCCAAAAAGGGATACAGCAAAGGGTCATTTCCAGGGAAGAGGACAGAACGCGCTTCGGGGGGACGTCCTCAGTTTGCTTCGTGCTGCGCAGGCCCATTCGACCGAAGCATATACGCTTGCTTCTCATGAAGTCCCAGCCTACGCGGGAACGCCACAATCTCAAGCCCCATGACAAATGTTTGCCACTTGCTGCTGGAATGCTGCCAGCTGGTTGCCAGCCTTTGCTTGTTGCTCTTGATGGTGTTCTAGGCTCGTGAAGCTGCGTGCAGCTTCGTCGCCGCAACGTGTAGTGCCGACGAACAAAAGGGAGCACTTATTTTCATTCTAACATAATTCCGAAGGAATTGCACAGTCCAGATGCACTGTGACTATCCTCATGAATTAGCGAAAATTGCCTGCAAAAGTAAGTCAAGGCAAAGGTGGTCGCCGAGACCTTCACACGACATGGCTACATGACATGGACGAAGGCACATTTGAGTACCTACTATCCTGTGTACTTGTGAGCAGCGCCTACTCTCGTGGTGCTTAAGTTGTCCACGTCGATTTCAAAGGCCCCTGAGGTATGCAGCAACCACATGAATAGTTCCGGGCACAGCATTTAGAATCTTTTGGTAATCGATCGCATCTCTGCACTTGACTCGCGTGCGCTTGGCTGTTTCTTTAAAATTTGTACTATTCTAACTGCTCCGGACCAAAGCTTTGATGCTTTTCCCTGAAACGTTCTTGCTAAACACTAGGAAATGCCAGCTGCCATTAACGCGACCTTACGCGATGAGTCCGGTCCAGACTGCCTTACAATAGGCACAAAGGATTCATCCCATACAGCAGCATTCAGTCGCCAGCTGCAGCAGCTCCAATAAAATACGCAGCTAGTCGTTGTAACTATGCAGTCAAGAAGGGGAAGAGAGCTAACTCATTCACGCCTACAGGCGACCAAAGTAATCATGAGGGTAGACATATTCAGATATACCATACAGACATATTCAGATATACCATACTGGATGTTGATATTTGATAAATTCTGCGAATTATCGTGCTTCTGCATGCTCCAAGTGGAGTCGTAATCGTACCTTCTGCAAACTTCAACCGTCCTAGAAGTCCTGTTGTCTGTGAAAGAAAGCAATGCAAGAAGTTCATAGCATTCACCATGGTTACGCAAGTCCGCCTCTGTGATATCTCGTAAAGGACTCCCTATGTCACTCTGGTCCACCTGCAATGAAAGGATGTAGCCACAGTTTACATTGCCACTAACAAAAGGAATGAAGGTCTCCATGGAAAACAGAAGTTAAATATAGCACGCGTAGCCCGAGAAGCAGCGAAAAAAACCGGGTACCAATTGTGGGGAGTTCGAAGCGATTGTACGAGTCACGAAGGCAAATAAAGACCGCTCTCACAGTAACTGTAATCGGCAGTGCCATGAACTCCAAAGGCGTGTCCGTATGGAACATGGAAAATTGGCGAATCGAAAGACCTCCTCGGCGATGCACCTGCGAATTGACATAGCAAGCCACCGTCTGTGCCAATTCCTCTCACTGCTACTGTGGAAGACTTAAAATAACTGCTTCGCCGTAGGCGAACTGAACAATGCGGTAGAAGCACGAAAGTATCGATATCTACCAGGAAAAACAAAGCGAGTCTTGTGTTGAAAAATGAGGTCTCCGTGATGTTCAACATGCGAAATGATATCCTGAGGCCTTGTGGGCGTTCTGTATGCAAATAAAAGATGCATCCAAATATGATGCCACTGAATCTTTAAGGTACTGTTGCCATGTGAAAAAGGAACATTGCTGACCTGGATGCTTGCCGCTGTTTCCCTGCACTGAGGGGATACCTGTGTTCCCTCCTTCGCAACTCTTCAGTAGTACTGAATCGTTTGAAGGCCTAGCCATGTACGTGTGGCTTGACATGCCTCGCTGGTACTCCTCCGACTCTCTTTCAACGCTACTAGGAGACTCATGCCCTCCATTCACATGTTTTGAAGGTGCTGCACAGAGCGGCAACACTTTGTGGTGGAATACTGGGAAGCCAACCCCAAGGTGGCGAGCGGCTTCAGGGAATCCGGAATCAGGCCCTTGTTTCCAGAATCGCTTACCCCCCTCTTCAGGTATTCCCACAAGAAGTGGCTCTTGGAGAGGCGCCTGAGGTGCCCCCGAAGAATAATGTTTGGAGCTTTCAGACTGGGTTCGATGGCGACCAGCTGAGATCGGAGGACTTTCGCCAACAACCAAGGTGGTGCCGGATGCTGAAGGCTCCAGAGCTGAACTACGTTTACTTGGGCGAGAAAATCACACAAACACAATACTGAATTACAAAATGCGTAAGAACGGTCCACTGAAGTAGTGCGACTAATTCCCCATCGCAACTGAATCTCCATCATTTTTATAGCATCTTGCATAGCGTGAGGACGGATATAAAGTGCAGGTCAACCGTCTGTGCAACTATGTGATTTTGTGTTGTCATGCCTACCCAGTAGAAACGACAAGCTTCTGTGTAAATGCTAGAGCCCATTTTCTTCTTGCTGCAGAGGAAAACTTCTGGAACACTAGGCCCAAGATTAAGGAATTTAGCAGGACGCCCGTGACCACAATGGGGGTCACCATGAAGCTTGAGGAACGGCACGAAGGGTACCTACGCAAAATAAAATGGTGTCATAACCCCTACACAGCATTTCGTACTGAATGGAAAACCTTTCCAGAGCTCGTGCGGTCCTGCAGCCAGTAGGCGTCATTCGCAGCACAACAGAAGAGTGAAAGGTGAGGACTAGCACATGGGGAGCACGGGAAAGCTAGAATAATACACATGTATGTGATGAAAAGCTTCAGCCTGATGCATGCACAACGTGTTGGGTTGTCAAACGACGCGAGAAGAACTAGGGTACCTCGGGCTCCCATAACCAATGGCGAACATAGTTTCGACGACGAAGAAGAAGTAGTCCCAGTTTGAACTCGAGCTCCCGAGGCATTCATCTGCCCTTGCTTCCGTTGCAATAAAAAGAATCACTGAAAATGCACCCGCAGCACAGAAATGTCGCTCCACCAACTGGCAAACGGAAATCCCGAGTGGCTCGCGGGGCAGAAGGCCTGGGGCTGTGTTATACTCGTCAAATATTCCATAGGCATCTTCTCTTTCGTGACGCAGTCCTTCCCCCGTAATGGTCCCACTAGTGCATTTTGTTAGGTTTACTAACGCGAGAGAATTGCAGCGCAGATGACCACCGTGATGAAGACGAGTGCAACCAGCGGAAGCCATCGAAGGGCGAGGATTGCGTGGAATCTATCATTAATAAGAAATTCGACATATCCGCCCGACCGCCGGAAACGGTGCTCGAGGTTAAGCCCCCCATCTCTTCTGACGAAATCCCTCCGCAAAGACAACGTGTGTGTCGCCGGGGTATCCTCGTCCTCGGGGAATTCCACGTGGAACGAGCGAATCCGCACTGTAGAACCCCACTCTTCCGGTGCTACGTGCTTCACTCCACCATATCCGTGGGAGTCAAACATTATTTTGAAGTTGTATCTTATTTCGTTGTGTTTAACTGTGACAGGCTTGAGCAACAGCCCAAGTTGTCCATACTTCTGAGGAGTCCAGCGCAGGAACTCCTTCAAGTCTGCATACTCCAAGGAACCCTTCGCTCTATTTAGCAAACTAATATTTGACTCATGACTTTCCGAATGGGAGCTTTTCACCAGGTCCACCAGTGGAGTACAGTCAGCTTGGCTGAATGGCAGAAGGCGAAAACAAGGCAAGGAAAGAAACAACGGCACCGCCAAGGTGGGCCAAGAGGAACAGTGTTATCAAGATATTTATTTCGGTGGAAGTGATGGACTTTTTAACGGAATGTGCCACATACACTGTGTTCACGACAGCGTGGGCTACAGCATGTAAAATACAGGAAGCCGAGCATCCCGAGACAGCCCCAAGTAAAAGCCGTTGAAATAAAGCACAATCGCCTTCCTGATCGTCTTGAAAACATGTTTTTCCTTTACCTTACTGACTGTTAGCTGCTGTTTTCGTTGGGCTGTATTGGCGAGAGAGTGACCACAGCAGTCCACTGGGGGACAGTGAGTTTGACAGTCGAGTGCGCGTTGACACGAAAGAAACGGCCTTCTGGTCAAAGCCCTGAGAGCTGCAAATTGAATTTGTTTGCATACACGTCCGTCGATCGATTTGTTATCCCGGTGGGTGGGAAGGCGTTCCAGGTCTGAACTACCTGGGATCGAACAGAAGCGTCTCCGACGTCCAGCTCTGGTGTCGCGCTGCTGCCGCAGAACAAATACTTCACTCGTTACATTTCTGACATTAGAGCGTAAAACGCAATATGCAACGCTGGCTCCCACAGTGCTCGGCACGTACTAGACTACTTCACGCCGCTTCATGCGGGTTTTTTGAACTCGCATGAAGCGGTGTGTAGCCTTCGTTGTCGTCCATTTGTCACCAGAAAGGCGAAAATTTCATGGAGAAAACAATTTCTTGTAGCTTTTTGGATAGGAGACGTCCTTCGGAGGGGCTGTGTATGGAAGTTTAAGCCAGCCCTCTCCTGTACATCTCACGCGTAGCCAGTTGCCATTTGCTGCGTGTGTGAGATGTCGAAGCTGGATTTGTAGGCCAGCAATGATTTCTGCAGCTTATACAGCCACAAATGTTTATTATTCCGCCCCGCTTTGGCGGGAATAAGCTTTCTAGCGGATTCTTTAGGAGAATATGCCGTAGGCAACGTACACGAATTACTTGAAAGGCTTTTGGAAGAAGAATGATCTAGTCATACAGTTGCAGCTTGGTGATGCTCTGCTTACTTGCGTATTCATGAAAGGGGAGCAGTGCAAGCAATCTGGCAGAACTTTAATCCAAACGGTGTTATGGCTGTATCCATTTGAGCTGCTATATGGGATTGTCGCATGTGATGTGCTAAAATGAGATACTTTAAACTTGTGCCACCAGCAAAATCTTAGAACATATCTAGTCTTACTAACGATCAAGTTGTCCAGAATGTGCCGTGAGTAGGTATGTGCTGAACATGGGGGAACAACGCCGGTGATGACGCCGCAAGCATGCTGACGGAACGTATATTGCATACATGAATCAAATTGGCTGCTTGATATCTTATGCTCCTTCCTAATGTAGAGACAGTAGATAAGGCCAAAATGCTGACTGATGAACTAAAGCTTTAGCGGCAACAGGCCCAACCTTGTTCAGATGCATGGCGATTTGGTTTTGGTATGACGCAGAGTCATGACATGCTGCATGCGTGGCACTGCACGCGTCAAAAACAAAACCTCATTCGACACATTTCCGGTGCTACTGATTGTTAGGTCTCCAGCGTGAACGCTGTGTCTCTGCCTCTTCACCTGGGAATCAGGAGTTAGTCCCACTTGTTGGAATGTTGCACTGTTAAGTAGATGCCTTAAAGTCTTTTCTCAAGCTCCCTACTCACCTCCAAAGGCTCAGCGGTTCCGGTTGTCTCGTAGAACTGGTTGGGTGAAGGCACAGAATCTAGTAGCAGGGTGATCAAAGACAGGCAATAACCAGGTCATAGAACTCAACGTGGGCATCAAAAACATGGCGCGCTGCACTAACCATTAAACACAGCATAGATGTTGCATGTTGTGCTCCAAAATTGCCGGGAAAAGGTCTGGAGTTCTTGAAGACCCAAAATTTAGTGGCTAGCGGAACACTGGAAATGGAATGGCCATACGAATGAACGAGGCCAATGAGTTCCATCACACTGTAACGTTGCTCACTGCATCAAAGGCGCTTCAGCCAGTTACATGTACTAATTTCCCTCACCCACGTGGTCTGAAGAGACGCAACATCTTCTGCCACAGGGGACTAAAGAATGGAACTTGAACAAAAGAGTGATTGTTCTGTAGCCTTACGAAGCGTTTCACAGATTAACAGACCCTTACATGTAAACGACACGTTTCGTGTAGCAGGAATGGTGATCCGTGTTGTGCCCTTCATGTGCACCACGTATGGCCACTCCTGCTGCACAAAGCGTGTTTACCACAATGCATACGAGACAGAGACTCTCCTGAAAAGGCTTCCTTCCGTTGCTGAATTTTGCAAGTGGCTTCTGGATAAGCAACACTGGCGTGCGAGTCAAGCAGCGCCAACTGGTGTAGTGTCAGTAGTCACAGCATTTCTCTGCTATGGTCACTGGGACTACACCAGTTACCTGAGTGAAATGGCTGAAGCAAAGAGAGGATGCGTTCAGCAGGACCTCAGCAAACGACATAGAAGTGATGCATCTGGGAAATGCTTAGAAAATGTTTCGTGCCTGGTATGCTAGATCTCCACAGCAGACACGCCAGCCAGGAATTTTACTGGTGCATCTGCGTACGGAATAACAAGCTCGAATGCCTGCAAAAAATGGCGACTATTGCGGACAGAAACGAGTTCAAGCCTAAACCTTTACTTTTGTCTTTCTGCTCAGTCTCTTCTCTACCGTCTATGCTATTTCCACACAAATGAGGTGCGCGATTGATAATTGTCTGCGGGCACCCTCGTGCCCATTCTGTTGGCAAACGTTGTACGTTGCCCCCGTCACCTCCAGAACTCGCAAAGCAGTATGGTCATTTTTTCACTTCAACGATAACGAGTATTACAGCACTAGAAACCACAAAAATATTATCTTCATTCACGAAAACCTAACCGTAGGCCACACTGGAGGACCGTAAACCCGCCAACTCGCTGATCACCGTGCTTTCGCTGTCCACAGTGCGTTTCTCCAACCCTGAAACATCTAGAGAATTAGCTTTACGTGTAGTGCTTCTCGTTAAGGGCAGCGGTATGCCCAAAATTTTTAATCCTCCGGTCATATGGGCTCAGTTTACGAACGTCAGCAGCGGGTCCCGATCAGCAGATTATTTAGCTCTCATCGAGCAAGCTTCCTTAACGGTCAATTAATAAGAAGAGTTGGTCGCTAAGATGTTATGTGAACTGTTGGCGAATGAATCTACCTATACTGCGTCGCGTGCAAGGCGTAGCACCAGGTCCGCATGCCTTGTGGATGCATATGAGATGTGGCGCCTACCACGTTCTTCAAAGGATAGCAGTTGCAAGTACCAGCTGCAGTAGGCGTGCCGCCGCCGAAGCGTGCAGTTCAACAATGCAACCCACTGATGATCTTCAACGTAATATAAATCATCGAATGGATTTAACGTAATATTAGAAAGCAGCGCAAAGGTGCTTTGTTCTCGTGCGAACAGGCCCATCACGGTTCTGCTGTGTGACCTAGCACTTACGACTAGGAAAACGCACTGAAGTTACAGCGCGCAGTACGGTCGCACAGAAATTGAGAAATGCCCGGGTCAACAAATGTGTACCTGCTTTTAAACTGTACTTTGAATGATGTTACTTGCTTTTTATTGTCCAGGCAACACTTTCATTGGGTCCCGTTAGGTATGAACAGTTCGAGCCACGCAGACAGAAACACGGAAGAGACGGCCCGAGCCTAGCTCTGTAAGAACTTGGCCTCTAGCGGCAATTCGATATATGCGACGATGATGCGTGCTTCATGATTCTGCATCTGTGCATTGGCAGTTCTATAAAATGATGTACTATGGGCGAGCGAGATCTGGGTAGTGAAGTGAAAGGCACCTAGGTGCACTGCAGCAAGCTAACAACAACGTTATCCATCCCTCCGTCGTGGGAAACTGAGTTCTTATAACATCTTTGCTGAGTGCAAAATTGCGAAGTAAAATAGAGCCACTTCCCCCGAGATGGGACGCAAAGGACGGTAGATAGTCTGGAATTCCGTCCTTGACAGCAGATGCTCGCAGCAGACGCAGAGTCTCACGCAAACAAAGAATTGAACCTCCCAGCCTTTGCCAGAATGCCGGAAGAAGAGGCGCTGGATCTACAACAACGTGCTCCGAAGGTGCCCAAAGAATGTTCTATCCGATTGGGCTCTAAGCAGGGCTCGTGAAATGCCCATTTTTCCTCTGCTTTCTATGGTTGCGCAATTTTTCTTCAAAGAGCATCACAGGCGACGTCTGTAGCCCCATGTTGCGCCTCTATACTCCTGGCAAAAACGGCGATTTCTGTCTGTATACGCGCTTAACGTGACCACATCTGCTTGACAGACGACGAGTACACACAGATTCGCTCTCACGCGCTTATGAAGTTGTTTGGTCAAATGCTGCATTTTGCATGGTACGAGGAGTAGGGTGGCTAGTGTATACGATTAGTGCCAGCATTTCGTTGGCACCCTAAATAATACTGCAGTGACGCTCATTTAGGCAGTATATGGGCTGCCTTTACCGCATTACAGTTGTATTTTCATAGCTACGATGCTGTGAGACATTGGGGCTTCGTAGCCCTGATGTTACTGTAGACTGAATTTTGGGTAAGAGCGTATAGAATAAAAGTGGTGAATTCTAGGATTACGTTTCGGCTAATGTGCTATCGAGTGACTATGCTGTGATTTTGTGTGGCATTTCAGTTGGTTTACGTGTGAACACACACGCGACAGTGATTTGAGCATCTTGGCACTGTCCGAAGGTGCCGTCCAATGGTGCGTACGGAAACATTTTGTACGTGGCATCCATTGAATTTTATCCCGGTGAATTTGCTTTTAGATTTTTATAGTTTTTCAAACTAAGGCAAGGAAATAACTGTTTCACTTAGAAGAACCGGGTCTGTAGTAGCAGACTAGTTTCAGGGTTCTGCTAGTTCCGCCACCGGCTGTGGCTGGCAGTGTAGTGCGCTGCACTACAATGTTACTCTAGAGCAAGCAACAAATGTTTTACTATTTAGTAGTACAAGGGAAAAGCACAATTTTAATCATGTTAGCTAGAGAAACGTGGCTCTGGTTGCATACTTGGCTGCTGGCGCTGTGTTGGCAGTGCGCCTACAATGGCATGCTCAACGGGAGACACAGAGTGTCTCAAAAGAGAATAACAATAACAGAAATAATACTAAATATGCCTTTTTGGTGCAGCGCGTTGTGAATCTGACGGTACTAGATGTGTGCGCATCTCTATAGCTGGACCCTTGTGGGCAGTATCCACACTTCAGGCCAGCGGCGGCAAGAGGGGGAGAACGTCTCCTTCAAGCACGCAAGCAAAAAGTCTAAAAGCAAGCATGCCTTCTTAAGGCATTATTTGGTGGCGATGTAGTTCAGACACGTGCGCACGTATGTTGCCAGTTGCGAGTTCCGTGTAGCGGCGTAGCCCGGAATAGCTCACAGCAGTACAGTGCAACCTGGAAATGCCTTCAGGAACATGTACTTCAGAATGAGTAAGCTGAAATACTCAGTAGAGGTAGGAAAAACTCGAAGGGTGTCTACTACTATCTACTACCTCAACCTACACAGTTCTCAGTGTTACGGCCTGGTCTGGTGTGCACTTCACCCAGGTGCGGCTGACACGAGGCAGTGAAGCTGCACTGGGAGGCACGTCCACTTCTTGAGGGAGAATATTCAGAGGAATATAGAAACACACTTGAAAAAGCGACTTACAAGGACGTTGTCTGGACCGCTTTTTAATGTGTAACAGAGTCTCAGCCTACTGAGGATATTAGCCTACGCGGCCAAAACAGAGGAGAGACGTGGGAGCCGGGCTGGGCTCAGCTCACTACAACGTGATCCGTGAGTATGAAAACTGAGTTGCACCGCTATGATTGGCCAAAAGGATAGACACGTAGGCACGGCTGTAGTTCTTTGTTACATGCCTCGTGCACAAGACACTTCTGAAGGATTCTTGAAGCGTTCTTTGCGCGAATCCAACATGTAAGAAATTTGTCCTTCAGCTTGCTTCTTTTTGGATATCTCGGGTTCAGTGTGGCAGGTTTTGAGAAAAGATTTTACTACTGCAGAGAGTAGCTCCTACGGGCGAGGATAACCGCGCAAGCCTCCACGTGTGGGGGTCTTTACAGACGGAGATAGAAGAGGCCTCCTGCCTGCAAATTGATGTTTTGATGTAATGCCAAAGTTACTCCGACAAGGGAAAGCAACTTCTGGCATAAGAGAGAATGTGGGCCCTTGAGTAGATCGGGCAGATATTGCATTGTGGGTTGGCGCCGCAGGATTAAACCACGCAAGCAACCCTCTTTGTAGTGAGCTACTCAAAGCTCATCGCCTTGCTGTCTCTCTGTTTTAGACTACTTCGCTTTATACCTATCATAAATCAGTAAATAAACTGCCAAAATATTATAATGGCTTAAACAGCATCATTTTTCGCTCAATTTTCGGAGAGATACATATCCCCCCAAATGTTTTGAACTCCTGGGCTCGCCACGATCCATTAACAAATACTCAACTGAGTTTCCTGCCGAATACACCCTTCTACACTTGATCTTAATGCCGGGAAAGTAAAAGGAAGAAAAACCCGCAAATCCAAAACTACAACCTACTCCGTGCATCGTCGCAAGGCTTACAACGTCAACCACTGCAATGACTGCGACACATATCCGACACTCGCAATTGTTCTCACGAAAACAGAAAACTCCGAAGCGAAATTATCTGTGCTTACGTTTAATGTGAAAGTAAAGAACAAGGGTCACAAGTGCGCCTCGTGCAGAATATGACTAGCTGCGAATGTAGGGCCACTCACCAACTTCCGCCTAGCGCCATTAAGGGCCCTGCCACAGCATAGGTGAGATAAAGGCCCCCCGCTGTTTCGTTGGCTTGCGTACCTAATGAACACGCAGGTTTTTAACTCATAGTGTAAAAGCCAATGACCGAAATGTGTACGTGTTGAATACTGAAGATGTTCCTCGATCGTGCACTGCTGCACTAGCTACTCTTGGAATAAATCAGACGCAGCCCTCCGCATGGATAGCTTGTTTCATATCATGTGCATTTAATATCTTCTGTTCCTCCAGGCTTCATACAATACAGATTTAGAGTCTCCTGTGCTAAGTCTAATTCTTAACCTTCTCTCTCAGCTGTGTTCCAAGCCCACTGCGCTGCACGACTTGTCTTCAAAAGCAACCCATTATTAGGATCAACGAAATCTGTAATATGCGGAGTACTTCCAGCGTTAGTCTAGGAGCTACAGCGCCATCAATGGTGCAATTTTAGTCCAAGAACCCTTAAAGCGTGGGACACTGCCCTTCTTTATACAAGCCCTTTTTATCGGTACCAGCCACTTATGTGATTTGTAATGAAATATATCAGATTGGTGCAAGTGGCTTATTACGCCTCCAGTTCGTGCTATCTTGTTCATTTCGACGGCCGAGTGATCGTGTGCACGTGGCAAAAATACTTGACTTCACTGCCACGCGTAGGAGCGTGGATTCGACATGATATTAAACCTATGAAGAGATCAATTTGCACCGGCGCCCTCAAACAGATTCCATGTGTTACAGGGTGCAGGCTACATCAGACGCTGTCTGTAATGCACAGGTGCCAGGCACTACACTGTCAGCGGAGGCTGAGCCGACAGATATGCATCGAAGGAGAGCAAATGATGCTTTCAAAGGAGAGCAGCAATAAAAAAAAACAACGTGATCTATAGTATCCGAACATTCTTGACAGTTTTATTCTGTATGTTACTGGAGCGGGTTTCACTCTAAGGAGGCTTGCCTGCTTGCCCTTCGGGCCGAACGGCCGTGACAGAACATGACACTCACGCACACATTTGGGACGGTACAGGTTTTCCTTAGGATAGTATTGAAAAACTACTGACAATTTTTTCAAGGCCGTTAATTCTTTTTAGTACACTTAGTAAAGTCAGCTGTAGCGCGGTATTTTGGGTGCATCGGACCGAGGGCTCCCCCTCCGCTGAAGGTCCCCTGCAGTGCGGAAGTGACCCTCGAAAGGTGTATCATTACCAACGAGGCACACAACTTAAATATCTCCATAAGAAAATACCTCCTATAATTTAGAGAGAAAGTCGAGCCTAAGCAGGCTACTGTGAGGTGCGGCATTATTGACGACTGCTGTAGATCTGTTTCATTGGGTGATTTTCTAGGAGCTCTGTATGCTGGCGCAGGCCTTCCATAGCAGTAAAACTGTTCCGTATTAGTTGAAATTAGACGCTATTGTTAAAAATATACAAACTTAAGGGGTTTTCTAGTAGTTTTTCTGCGTAGTCGATTCATATTTGAAACCGTCCCTAGAGAGCCGCCACATGCAGCGAAACACCTTAATATCTTGTGTTTGTCAATTCCACGCGCGACCAATGGTGCGTTATATCTTTTTAAAAAGAGGTTTCCAGACAATGATTGCATTACAGTCCACTTTAGGTTACGGCTATGGTGTGGGCCGCGTTCGCAAGCCCACATATGACGCCTGTCTATTTGTTGAGTGCAGGTCAAAAGCAGATAAGAAACGCGAAGATGGCTTCTCTCGAGCCTCTTGCAACGGTAACTCGGTGGGTGGGATTTGTCAGCGGAGTGTTGACGATTATTTTATGGTGCTTCCAGCTATCGTCAACTTCCCCCTCCATCTCCATTGGCAGTGACCCTCTGAAGGACGTTAACAAGATCACATGGAGAATGCAACTTTTCTCATTCGTTCCTACCGTCTTCATTGACATTTGGACTCCTTTTGTGATGGGAGCTTGTACGCTTTTGGCGCACTTCCCCTCCTTCAACTTGAGCTTCATTAACGTCAACTTTGCGCACTACTTCATATGGTCCTTCTTGATGGCGTTGTTCGGTAACATGGGCTACGCTGGAGTTGTGGGAGTTGTCGTAGCTTCCGTTACTCTGCTGTCCTCTCTCCTCAGTTTAATTTGCGCGTTCCTCTACGATGGCACTGCTAGTTTGAATTTGGGACGCTAAATATAAGCAAAAGATTAATATTCTCACAAGCTGCTTCGTATCCCCTGTGGCGATAGAAGTATATGCATTTGAAGCTTTCACGCATGAACATAATCCGCCGAAATATGGTTATTGCCTCCTGCACTTGCGCATCAATTGTTTCCGATGTGTTTTGTGGCCATTCGAGCGGAAAACTGCCGCTTGAAGCACAGCAACTTGAAAGAAACGCAACAGCCCGAACCGGCGAGGACGCTGCCTTATTTTTTGCAGCTTTTTCTTCATGAAGTGGGCCTCTACACACGAATATTGCGTAGATTTGTCTTTGACTCTGCGCTACAGTTCTCTAGACCTCCGATGACCTCTGCAAAACAGCTAGCTGCTTTAGTTCATGTAGCAAGCACACAAGTGAAACTCTAGGAGAGCCATAGCCTAAACGATCAGTTCAAGTGCTTCTGTGTCACAAGTGCTTCTGTGTCACTCTGCTTTTTTCCATTCATAATTAGCTTGTTCCACTGTGAGCTGGCGAGATAAACCGTGACTCACAAAATGTTTCATCCACTTACGCTTAGCTCAGGGTTTCAGCAGCAATCCTAAGGCCCTGGCACGACATGTCCTGGCTTAGTGTTAGCTGATCAACTGGCTAGCATTCCAGAAGCCCAAAACTGCAAAAGACACGCCACTGGAGGGCAGCAAAAAGCAAGCATTGAGGTTCAACACGATACTAGGCACCTGGCACGTGAAAGTCCGCCAGTGGGTGTTTACTGCATTCTGCAGAAAAAGTCATAACGGCTGGTTTTGCAAAGCAAATGCCAAGGCGTCAAGCTGTCTCGTAGTTTCTACATACAGCTTGTATTCTTCCTGGACAGGCGTAATGTCAGCCTTCAGCCTCAGGGGCCTGCCGTGTTCCTGTTTAAAGCGAAGGTGATATGCTGCAAGTTTGTCACCTAGCAAGCGGCGTTCCCGCTTCAGCTGGTGCAGCTGAAATGTCATTTCTTCCCGTTTCTGTTGCAAAAGCTGCTGCCTGTCATAGGCAGAGAGCTTACTCCATGATTTCTCTTTGGCAATTACAGGTGACCTATGCCCGCCACCGCTGTTCCCTAGTCGTTGGGCTGCCTTGGGGCTGAGGCCGTCTGCAAGACGCAGACTTCGGCTCTTCCTGAGCCTCTTCATGGCGCACGTTGGGGAATTTGTTGTTGGGGAAGAACTGGCGCTAGGACTTTTGCGTCGCGTACTGGTGGCAGCACTTGCGGTGGCAGTCTGTGATGCGGCGGCATCTACTGCGTTTGGCGTATCACTTTCAACAGCAGTGTGCCCGTTTCCTTCTGCTGCCATTAGATGCTCTATGCATTGTTTAATACGCTGGTAATGCATGTACAATGGCCTGAGCGGCTCCTTATCTTGCTTTAGCGGTTGGCGTCCAAAGTATGAGGCAAAAGCGGTGTTGTACGCCCTGAGTTCCTGCTTCAGCCTTTTCTTTGTGATCTGCAGCTTGTGAAGATCCCCTTGCCTCCCAGGACAGCCACCTGCAATAGGCACGGGCCGAGCCGCCTCAGGTATCCGATCGCCGGAGCTGCTGTTTGCAGGTCTCTCTGGTGCCTCTCCACTCGCTGCGAGAAGTCTTTGCTGGCAACCCAGCAGCCATTCGGCGGCGAACGCACTTAGCGGGTCCTGGCTACTATCTTGAGCGCTGCTGCAGCGAGCAGCTGCAAGTGCAGCAGCAGCAGCGGCACTTTTTGTTGCACTGTCCACTTCAATGTCGCCTGAGCTTTCCTGCAAGAAACCCATAGAGCAGAAGGAGTCAGCATTGGAGCCCAAATAAAATAATTTAAACATACTACGAAACGGCTCCCTATTCAAGGATGTGCACTAAGTACTTGTCTGCTCACCATGAACGGTAAAGACTGACACGCTGGTGACGAAAGAGAGCCTTCAAGCTGCTGCTGCTGCTGCTGCCGCTCCTGAGTTTGCACCTGGGAGGGCTGTTTCGATTTGACGTGCGAAAGTTTTGCTGTAGTGTTTATCCTGCAACCGGTGCTGTGCAACGCCCCAGCAGAAGCGCCTCTAGTTGCAGAAGCTGTTTTTTGGACCCCAGCTGCTGCACCCTTCAGACCGCCACTATTGACGCTGCTGCTGCGGATAAGAGCTGCAGCCTCCCCTCGACGCCTCCCAACAGCCTGCCGCTTTTGAGGCGGCCCCTCAGCACGAACTGCCGAATCCCTTGTGAGTTGCAGACTTGGGGCTGGCCCTCTTGTAACTGCTGGAGCTGGCGTCCCAGTTGCCTCTGAGTACATTCCTCGAAGAGCTCCATGTGATTCTGATCTTCGCTTCGTGCCCTTATCTGTGTTTAGTTTCGCTGCGGCTGACTTGGGCTGCTTCGCCGTGTGGGACGGCCGCTGCTGGTGCTGCCTGCATTTTTGCTGGTCCGCAGAAGTGAAGTTCTCGTCGGCCTTTGTTGCATCTCCCGCGGGCTCTTGCGTTTGTTCAGCGCAAGAGGAAGGCAGATGCGTCTTGGGTGGCACCAGAAGAGCTTTCAACGTTGCAGATGAAGCCTCGCGCCCCTCCGTGCGAAGCTGAGACTCTGACTGGAGAGAAGCACACCTAATCTGGCCCTTCCGCGGGGTCGCGAGGCTCCGCTGAGATTCTATTGAGGGCTGCGCGTCAGCAGCGACTGAGGCCGTTTGTTCGGCCCTCTCCTGCGGGTGCCGCAAGGGGAATGGCCCTTCCTGCAGAGCGGACACAGGAGCTGAGTGGCTGTCGAAGTCGCTGCGGAAGGTGCTGCAGCGGCTACGTGAGCTGGGTGTTTGAACAGGAGAAAGTGGGGAGCCGAAGTCCTCGGAGTCCTGGTGGCCTGCTGCCTCCTCTGGGAAAAGATGCGTAGGCAGTGGCGCCGCACCAGCCTCCTTCAGAGCTCCCACCAGCAACAGCTGGTCTAGAAACCCCCCGACCGGAAGATAACGCTCCGGATTGGTCAGGCTAGATGACGGGCCTGTAGGCCCTTTTGATGGCGCGGGAAACAAGCACCATCGCTTCACTGCATCTCTGAGACCAAGGGCGACCTGCAGCTGCTCAGCCATTTCCGAAGATATCCAAAACGTATAGCAGCAGGAACTTGACGTTGGTTAAAAACGTCCAACAGGTGGTGCTAGTGGCCATTCTAATGCTTGAAACCGTAGGAAGCCCTGTAGCTGACCCAGGCCAGATCAGCCTGGGCCGAAACCAGGATCTCCCCAGTGTGTCTTTGAAAGTATCAAGCTATAGTTTTCCACTGAACAACAGTGACAATGTTACTTCCGTCCAACGGAAAATTGTGTTGGCGGTGGTAGTAACGGTAGTGCTACGGTTTGTGTTGCAGTTGGTGGCTGGGGCCCCTTGTGCTGCCCAAGAGCTACCGGGGTAAGCCGAAAAAACAATGAACATCTTCGTGCACAAAGAACACTAAACATATGTAAGCATGCTTACCTTCCATGGGAAGGAAGCGGTTTTTACTTCAGAACAGCAGCTCATCCGAGCCCAGCTCAAGGAAGCTGCAGGCCTGGTGGCTCACAGCCGACAACGGCATTCGCTTCTGTTCTCTTGCTTCATGCACTTGATTGTGGTAATCCCATTTATTTTTCTCTGCTCTACGCAAAACTGCGCCGCTGGAGGAGTGTACCACATTCAATGCGGTGCCTTTGTTTCCATGGCGCTGTTTTGAAGATGGTTGGTTAGCTCCGTAACAACGGACCGAGAAGTTCATTAGCAACAACAGGCTGAACGATGCTGGCCGATCTGCCAGAGAATATTTCATAACCTGCCTAATGATGCGAAGGCCATCCCTGTGTTCTTCCCAACAAACAGGGATCATGGTAAACTACGATTCCCGCAGCAGACAACATGTTCTTCTTTCGCACATGGCTTGGAACTTCGCTTTGCTAGAAACCGCATCTGAGCAAAGGAGGCCAGATGAGTCAGTTCGAAGTCTGAATGAGATGCTGTAGCAATCTCAGTAAGTTTACAAACGTGACGATTCGATATGGTCGTTTTTCTTATGCCTGAGGAAACGCCATGACGTAGATGGCTTTTCTGGTGATTCGGATAAAACACAACTCTTAATGCATTGGTTTCATTTAGGAGCTTTGGAAGCCCCTTCCTTGACTGCAACATGTGGGGTGCGATTGCCCGAATCCGCAGCTGACGGCTTCGCTGGCTGCAGCTGTACGGGTTGCATTGATTGGAGCCAGACACAATGCGGATGATCCTATATAATTACTCGCCTCATCTTGTCTGTTGTTGTATGCTCATTACTTTGCATTCACGTTGCTTTGGTAAGTTGTGTGACATGGGCAGTACAGGCTAATGGGCCCACACTGTGCCACAAACTGGATAGCAACATTTAATTTCTCTTGCCAGTTTTGGACTAGAAACAGCTTACGACCTACGGGCTAGAACAACCTGACGGTTTGACGTGGTAAGCTACTAGCTTTTTGTGGGGAGCCGCTTAAAGCGCCTTAGTACTATGGCAGCTGCCTGTGGGTGGCATCTCCGTAGCCGCCCTGCCGCAAGAGCCACAGACATTCTATACAGCCCCAATGCTCCGAACACCTGCAACTAGAGTGCGGAGTGAGATGCTTTTTCTCAGTGACTCACAGTGCGGGCAAGAGATGATCCATGCGCCCAGTTTGACAAAACACCGGCACTGTGCGTGAAAATGCAGCTCGGTGTCCTGCTCTTGTGTTACGGGGAGGATACCTCCTAAAACTGTTTATATGTACATAAGCGGAAAGACTGTCAGAAGCTACGTTCAGCAGAACTAGGACCAGTTCCAATACTCATACCATGAGAGAGGAAAGAGCCTCTCATGCAAGTTAAGTAGATCTTTCAACTGCAACTTTTGCAGCTCTCGCTGTCCTGAGCTAGCGATAGAGCATCAGTACGGGAATGCCGGCACTGCTGTTCTAGCGCTGCGTAGCTGAGCGAACTGCAGCAACTGTGATAACTACAGTTACTCCAGAGGCATGCGAACGAACAGAAGACAAACCCTTGGCATCTCCGCCGCTGGCTAGTTCTGTGGTTGCTATCGCTGCAGTTACCGGCGGCTGCCTGAGTGCTTTCAGATATTTCACGCGATCGGGCTAGCAAGGAAGTCACTACGGCGTGAAAGCCTCTTGAAGACACACTGCAACGCAAAGTGAAGCCTCACACTGGGCTCCCCCTCTGTGGTCTCCGGCGTGTGGCAACTGGTAGATGGGCTTTATTTTGCAGCTGACAGTGGAAGAGCTCTTGGTGCTGTCAGGGCGCTGGTGGGAAAGACTGCAGCAGGAACAACGGCGTCGACACTGACTGTCCATGTCTCGCAGCGTTCAAGCCGCTGCAGCAAAATGAATTCAGTGAAGGGGAACCCCCCCTGCGGCAGCCGCTCCAAAGCCACATGCGCTGTCCTTGCAATATACAGCTCCTCCGACAAATCCATTAAGCTCAACAAGAACCTCAAGACGCGTTCACACGTCGAGATGTGGCAAAGAGTGCGTTGGGTGCACATCGGAAGCATAAGGGCCCCTGCGAGAAAATAGCATCTGCATCTTTGGAGAGCGCAAAAGACGGTGAAAGCGTCAAGGGAGAAAGGAGGGCCTCGGAAGCTGTGGCGCGTTTGGCAGCCACTATGGCTGGTACAGTAAAGACAGGCCGCTCTGTACGACCTCTGAGAGGAATAGGCTAGCTGGAAGAGCAGGCAGCAGCAACCAAGGCACGGGCCACGAAGCTCAAGTAAGTGGAGAAGGCGTGTACTGCGCTGTGAGAAGAGCGCTTAGATACTTGCTGCAGGCCCTGTTAGCCCTGCAGGACAGCTTAATACCCGGAGCAGACTCAGGCGGTAGTGCCAAAAACGGTTCCTCAAAGGAAGTGGAGAGTTACAGTCAGCACTGAAAATGGTCCTCTAAGGACTTGGCCAGGCGGTGCAAAGCCCACGGAGAGGCTAGGAATGAAATTGCGAAGAAGTGGCCTTTGAAAGACGCTGCTCAGGGTGCAGCTTTCGGGAGTACAGCTGCAGTCGCTAGGTCAATAACTCAGCGATGACGAGGTATATATGGTAGACTAAGCCAAATATAGACCCAGGGAATTCGCGAAACAGGCCCTGCGAGCCGCCGTGTATTCTTCAGGAGTGGCGAAAGGCAAGACACAAAGAAAACGCCGGATTTCTTCTGCCCTTGTCACCTTTAGGGGACCTCAATCAAGAATAGATGACAATGCCCGCCAGCGGGTAGAGGTGGGCTCTTGAGGGCTCGAAGCAGTGGCCGGAACAAAGATGACATTACTGAGTTTCCGTTAGTTGGGCTAATCGCGGTGAAGCGAGCTGACACTGCAGCTACTGTCATTGCCTGAAGAAGGCGGCGATTCGTTAAAGGCAGCTCTATGACAAAAGCATGCCAACGAGGGTCACGCTGCTCAGGTGCGCCTTTGGGAAGCTCTCAGCAAAGAAAGGATACTTGGAGTCGATGTTGAGAATGGCTTCAGCATATTCATCTTTCCTTCTGTTTCCAGGATTAGGGCCTGAGAGGTTTTGCAAGAACTTCGGAGGGTGAAGCGGCTCGAGGGCGACGGCCACAAGTCCTACTCACCGCTGTGTGCTGCCTTCCTCACATGAACGCAATGTACACACAAGGTAGAATTATTTCTTGAACAGAGACACAACAATAAGACCTTTATTGTGCCGTAATACCAACGCCTCTCCCTTGACCCTCCAGTGGAGAGGTTGTACGTCTGCAGGTTGCGGTTCTTCTGCTTCCTAACCAGGCCTACCGAATGCATTTTGGATGTTCATTTGCAATGCTAAATTCTTATGAGAGTACTACTTTTAATTAGGATACTGTGCCTTGTTCACATTTCGAGATCACGGAGTAGGAGTGGGGGTCGGGGGCTCCTATGAGGAACCTATTTCGTCTTGGCACTGTTCCCTCCTCTTCTTTATCCATTTTCTCATATCGAGATGCTACTGTTATCTAAACACATTACCGATTACTCTATTAGGGCTGTATTAGTGGAAATACATGTTAATGGCTCAGACAAGGTCGCGGTTGTGTCGGTGACGGGAAGGGCAGCGGGTTGGGCGCTCGGTCTCGAGAGCGGCAGGAGTAGCGTTCTACGGCTTCCTCTGTTTATTTCCCAAATGGACTTGTTTTCTCTGCGTTTATTTGGCTCATGATTACTCTTGGAGGTTCCCTTCCCTGTCCCTGTTGCGTAGCCTTCTTCAGGGTTTAATACTGCTTTTCCTCCTCGATCTCCATGCGTGCTTCGGCAGGCTTCTGACCGCTTTCCTTGCGTAGAAATGCCACCAGATTTCTTATTTTCCGGGCACTTCCTGTAAACCCCACAGCACAGACGTTCCCCTTGCCTCTGCTTCTCCCCTGAATTGTTCCTGGAGTTGAGGGGCAGCAGACCTTGGCGCTTCCCTAGACACAGAAGAACGTTCCGTTGTTTAGAGTTATCTTTGAGGGTTTATTTTCAGTGCAGCAATTACAGTTTTGTTGCTCTGTCAAATTCTACAGCTGGGAAGAGACCGGCTAACCAGTCCCCGCTGCGCCTTTGTCTGTTGAATGCGCCAGTACTGCTGCGCGTTCCAGCAGGCCACCGAGCCAGCTCCAGCGGAGCCGAAACAGCCGCAGCCTTCCCCTCAAGTTTTCTTCTCAGGCCGCTGTCAATCAACTGTTGTTTACCGTTTTTTGCGGTGGACGGGGGCGACTGCAGTGCGGCGGCGCCTCACGTCGTATTCATTGCAGACTGCAAACACATGCACCTACTAATCTACGCTCTTATATAAGGCAAAGCCTTGGCGTCTTTGAATCACTGTGGGTGGCGGCTGGAGTCTCCGAGCCACGTCTCGTTGTGTGTTAACCGTAGACAAGCGCTATGGAGATAGGAGAGGCCCCCACCCGGTGAAGTAATTCCCAACAGCGCGTTGCCGCTGCTGCTCGATTCTGCAGTTGCTGCAGTTCCTTTTTGAATTTCATGGTTGTATCGCTGACTGCGTGTGTGGGGTGCTCTTCAAGTGGCAGTGGAGGGGTGAACAGAAAGGTAATGGGGCCCCAAGTAGCGTGTGTTGGGCTGCTGCTCCTCCTGCTCAGCAGCAGCAGCACTGTGTGTCTGTGCAACACTTCGACCGCGAGCTTTGACGCGGGTAATGAAGTCTCTCTTTTGACGAGCCCCGGGGGGCTAAATGGCGGCACTGCGGACGCGCTGGAAGCACAGTGGAGCCCTTCGGAGAACGAAAGCGTGGAGAAGCTGGGAACAGCGGAAGGAGCAGCAGAGGAAGCAGCAGCAAGAGCTGCTGCTGCTGCTGCAGTGGAGGCGGAGGGCAGCGCACAGCGCCTAGTCGGGCGCAACAGCGGGACAGCAAAACCAGCAAAGCGGCTGCTCGGGACTCTCGAGCTGGCCCTCCAGGCGCTGCTGCTGCTGCTGCTGTTTGGCCTTCTCGCCCGCTGCGTAAATGCGTGGACGCAAGTCGGCCAAAGACAGCAAGAGAATGCCCTGGAGCTGGGACTCGGTGTCGACGAGCACTTCGCAGGTGACCCTAGTGAGTCGCTCGCAGCAGCAGCAGCAGCAGCAACGAAGCCAGGTGCGGAGGCAGCAGCAGAAGAGCTTCAAGTTCCAACAAACGCAGAACTTTTGGAAAGGCTAGCGCGGGCGCGGGAAAGGCTGAAGCTTGCGCGGGCAGAAAGTGATGCAGCAACTGCAGCGCTGCATGTGTCAGTGGGCGCAGCTGGCGGCACTGCAGCAGACGCAGCGTTAGTAATTCAAAGAGCTCAACAGGGTATGGCCAAGTGGAGGCGCCGCGAGGAACATGTTGACTTTGCTGAGGTTGTAGACTCTCCTGAGGAGCTGCGGGCAGCGGCAGAAGACGTGCTGGCGGAGCTGCGGGCGGAGGTAGCAGCAAACAGCCAGGAGCTGCAGCAGCAGCAGCAAACTTGGCGGATGGTTAAAAAACGCAGATCAGTCTTAGACGTGGAGATGGGCAGGCTGGAGGAACAGCTGACTGTTTTGCAGGTAACCGCGCGGCCAGAAGCAGCCGAGGCGATCAGAGCGGAGAACCAAAGACGGAAGGAGGATCTGCAGCACCAACTGGCTGTTGTTGACGAGGAGCTGGAAAAAGGGAAAGCGACACTGGAAGAGCTGCAGCTCAGTGCCTCGACCAGCCGAAGCCGAGGGGTGCATGTACAGCGGGCTGAGGAGGTGCTGCCGGAGCTGTCGAAGGCGCTGGATCTCCTAGTGGGGCCGGCTAGTGAGTCGGACTCTAAAGGACCTGCAAGCAACGAGGACATTATGAAGGGCACGAAGCTGTATCCTGAGGAGCAGGAGCTGCTAGAGACGAAGCGGGAACTGCTGCGCGTGGAGGGCAAGCTGATGACGGTCTTAGCAGAAGAACACGCTTTGAACGTGAAAACTGCAGAAACGGGGCTGGCGCGCTCCATTTTGAATCAGCTGCGGAGCCGGGCGTGGATTCCCGAGGGGGAACAGCCGGGAACCCCGAGGGAAAAGAACTCTGAAGAAGTCGTGTTCGACTCCTTGTACATGGAGGCCAAGAGGCGAAACGTGCGTCGGGCCGAGGCATTGCTGCAGGACTTAATGTACAAGAAGTCGCGGCTGAAGCACCAGAGCGGAAAGCTGCAGGAGCAATACATGGACTTGGAAGTGGAGGTGAAGTTGTGCGAGCGGAAGGTGGAGCGGCTGAAGGAAACGCTAGTGGAGCGGGTGCAAAGCCCGCTGGCGTACGGCATAGCTGAACTTTCGCGCTTAAACGAGAAGATGCTGAACAGCAAAGAAACCGTTGCTGTGATCTTGGCTAAAGCCTCGAGGTTCGGGCCTGGTCTCTTCGCCAAAATCCCCCAAGACGCAGTGCAACACCGGTACTACAGCCGCCACCTCTCGCCCTTGGCAGATGACCTGCTCACGGCAGTTGAAAGCATCCTTGATACCGGTCTCCAGCTGCGCTTCGCCATACGCAAAGCAGCCGACAGCCTCGTATCCATGCAGCTAATCGAGTTCCTTCAGCAAGACGGGCTGGAGGCGCTGCTGGCCGCCGTTGTGGGCGGCCCCAGCTCGCCAGAGCAGTTGGAAATATCCACTGCCCGCTGGGACGCCACTGTTAACCTGAGGGCAACGGCGGAGGAGCGGCTGACCACTGCAGAGGCCAACGTGCAGAAACTGCAGGAGGCCCTGGCGCGTCTTGCGACTTCGCGGCGGTGGTTTCCTAGCCAGGTCAGCAAGGAGCTGGCGGCGCTGTCGTTCATAGCCAGCGAGAGAAAGAAAATTGAGTACTACAGAGAAGTCCTGAATTCCTTGGCCTCTGTGACTGAAGAAGATGTGAAGAAGCAAGTTCAGGACATCTTCCTCGAGGCTCTATGGACGGCGCTGCGTCGCAGAGCCATGTTTGGCCATGATGAGACACTCCTTCTAGCCGTGAGCAGAATTCATACATCCAAAATTGATTTGGCAGAGGGCAAGCTTACCGCGCTGTCCGAGGAGCTCTCGATGGACGAAGTTTACTACTCACCCGCAGTCACACCTGGCGATATCTTGGCATTTATTCCCGATTGGAGATCCCCCTCGCCGCCCCCGGAGCTTATACCGGAAACCGTGCCCAACGTCCTCCAACTTAGGCGCCCGCAGAGGAAAAAAGAGCAAAATTAAACAGAGAGAGCTCAAAGTTAACCTATCTACGACTGCGCTTGCAGCATGGCGACACCCATGTTTGCGGCCTTTTTAGAGGCAGCGCCAGTAGCTATTTTATCTATACACCTTTGTCGTCGCGGTGCATGAATACATGGCCCAGCTGCTGCTGCGGTTGCTGCTGATACTGCCCTGGTCTTCGTCTCTCCTCGCCTCCGTCACAGGCGGCGCTCCGACGCAGGCGGAATCAACGGTGGTCCCATACCTAAAGAGATGGACTGCCGGGTCTGAGCGTATAACTCGCTGCCTCCTCTTCTGTCTTTTTTTGGCTGCCGCTGCAGCCAAAGAGAGATGCATAAGCCGCCACAGAGTCGAGACAAAGGTCTCCTCTTCCGGCTATTTCTTAATACAGGTCGCCGCAGCAATGAGGCGCGGTCTGGCGTCTGACGCTGCTGCGGCAGAAGCACGTGGAGGGAAACGCAGCAGCAGCCACTCTGGCGCTGGATCTCCGCAAATTTACCGCAAAAGACCAGAGCACGCCAAAAGCGAGGAGACGCCGCCTCAGCGGAGCGGCTGGGTGCAGGAGCAGCAGCAGCAGCAGCAGCAGCAGCAGCGGAAGCGGCATGTGGATCATTCGCTCGCGTGCTGTGTACTGAGGGTTCTTTCATGTCCACGCGCCGGCAGTGGCGACTTGACGGAGCCTGTCTTTTGGTGGACGGGTTGCACAGCGTGAACTGAGTTGTGTAGTCAACCCAGTCCGAGGCCGTAAACCCAACACCCTGAAACACAGAGCAAACAATGCATTTGGGGCGCTGAGCAGCGCAACGCCCGACCGCTCCAGCGGATTCACTGAGCTTTGGGGCGAAATTTTGAGGAGTTTGTCGCAGTTTTAGTTCGAGGGAGTTGCTGCCTTGTGGTTCAGCTCGCCGGCGCCTTAGTTGCAGCGCACGTGCATGAAAGTGCGTGAATTTCGTTGTATCTCCATGCAGCTTCGATGCACTTGGAATGCGCGTGCATGGTATTTGCGTCCACATGCATGTTTACCAAGACATGCATGTGCATGCGCATGCCCACATATATATATATATATATATATGATTGGATGTTATGCATATGCACTCATACCTGCCCAAATTTGTGGAATTCGTTGTGAAGCGTGTCGACTATATATATATATATATAACAAATTTACACTAATGTGTATGTGTACGCACATGTATGCACGTATGCAAAATGATGCCTTGTCTTTCGAAGTTGATCGTACGCACGAGCAGTATTGTAATAATGTTTCTTTTGACATTGGGGAGAATAGGTTTAGCTGGAATCAAATGCGCGGAGCGAGCAAAGCGCTGGATGTATTTTATTGTGCATGAAAAACGGGGGCTAGCGGGACGACACTGTCCTTCAGCACATCCTAGGGTAGACTCTTCCGAGTTGTCCATGCGCGCAACTCCGCATAACCGAAATTAGAGGTTCGCGCACATATGAACGTTACAGGGATGGTGAAGAAGCTGTTATTTTTGCAGCCAGGGCGGCCTTCGGGGCCACCTGGCGACCCAGAGGCTCGTGGCCCTCCCGAGGCACTCTGCAGGAAGCAAAGCCAGAAGGCGGCCACGTGCAGCCTCCTTCAAATTTCTGGTCAAGTTTATATTTCACGCGAGTTGGCTAGCTGGGGAGGGAGTCTCGGGGCAGGAGTACGAGGGGGTGGCCCGTCTGGCGCTGGAAAAAGCCCACAATTAGCTACCCGTGCAGAAGTTTCGAATTGAGTACTTTAAAGAGTAATGATTTGAACAACTGGCTGGGCCTGGGCGGGGGTTGCAGCGACACGGCCAGCCAGAGGGGCCCACAGTTTGCTTCTAGCCAACTTTGTGGCAGCGTGGCAATTGCCAGCACTTTGTGCGGCTTTCAGTGCAGCCATATTTGCACGGCATAGACGCGCAGCCGTTGCTGCGCACACCCAAGCAGGCCATTCCTAATGAGTGAAGCCTCTTCCAGATTACCCACACATTGCTTGTGCTATTTGCCCAGCAACGCTGCAACACAGCGGAGGTAGCGGCGACTGCAGCTAGGTGATCAGCAGGGAACGTGGCGAGGCCTGCTGCTTATGTCGGCAGCGCTTCAAGTTTAAGAGCCTCTAAACAGTCTCTTCTTGAAAAAAATGCAAAATGGTCTAAATCATTGGGTTAGGGCGGCGTAGAAGGAGGTCCACTGGCCCTTTGGAGCTGGGGCTTTGGGAGGGGCCCCACAGCGAGGTTCGCAGCTGGAGCTGCTTTGCGTAGCGAGTAGCAGCGGCTGCAGTTGCTTTTATTGTTCAAATTTGTCTCATTTATTTAGAAGAACAGAACTGTAGTTCTCAATCTCTAGCCCGCTCCGTACCACCAGCTGCTTCCGTACAGCCTGCGGGCAGCGAACATGGTTGGGGGCCCCTCGTCGGGTAAACAGCCAAAGGGGGGCCCTGATAAGGCCCCACAGGAGCCTCAGAGGGCTTCTGCTTCTCCAGCTGATGCAGTTAAGGAAGACTATAGAAGTGAAGGCGCTGTGGCACTACACGAGGTGCGGTCCCTGCCAGGAGGCCGTGAGGTGTACGTACAGGTCGGGGGCATCTTCCTCCTCGCTGACGCTTCCACCGCCGAAAGACGCCTTCGGCAGCAGCAGCAGCAGCAGTGAAGAGCCGCTGCAGCAGCTAAGCACAGCACCGGCAACGGCTTCAGCAGCAGCCGCTGCACTACTACCTGCTGCAGCGCACGTGGGCAAGACAGACGCGTACTGTGACCCCGGTTGCTGCTGAAAGGCAGCAGAAACGCTGCAGCAGCCGCTGCTGCCCCTACAGCCTGGCGAAGGCTGCATTCCCAGCGCAGCAGCGCCGTTCTGCGCAGCGAGACTTCAGCAGTATATATGGGCACAGCCCGGCTAGCTAGCTAGCTAGCTAGCTAAGTGGATGCAAACTTGATTAGTAACTGAACTCTTATACCGTTTTTCGGCATGCTTGAAATAACGGGTTGCTTCCCGTAGCTAGCTAGCTAGCTAGCTGGCTAGGTAGCTAGTTAGCTAGCTATCTTGTCAGCTAGCGAACTAATTCGTACACAACTAGCTGCTTCTCCGTGGACTGCTCCAGAAAACAAATAAGATGGAGACAAGAAAACGCCCAAGCGTTACTGACATCGCAGCTGAAGAGCTGCCGCACCCACACTGTACACAAATGCCCGGCAGCTGCGGGCTCACTCAGTAGCCGTAGCCAGTGCTGCTGCTGCTGCTGCTGCTGCTGCTGCCGTGTGATGGCCAGCCGCTGCTGCCGCCCCCGCTCTGCGCGCAGCCCTCACGAGTTGACTCAGGGCGGCGCTAGCTAGCTAGCTAGCTAGCTAGCTAGCTGCGGTAGACACGGCTAGTCGTCTGGCTAGCCAGCCGCCACCACTTGAAGGGGAGCCACTGCGCGGCGAAACATTCGCCGCAGTGGCTGCCGGGCACTCCTTCCTGTTTGGCGTGGACGCTGCTGCGTGCCGGAGAGTCGCTAGCCAGCCGTGTAGCTAGCTAGCCAGCTAGCTGGCTACACAGCTGGCTAGCTAGCTAGCTAGCTAGCCAGATAGCTAGCCGGCTTGTTCAGCAGAACACCGCGGTGGGAGGCCCCCCGCTGGCGGGCAAAAGACCATTAGTCAAGCGGGTCTGTAGATCTCGCCTGCGTCCACATACTCTTGTCGGCTGCTGAAGCTGAAGTGGAGCCAACTGCAGAACCTGTAGAGGCTGGAGTGGCTCCTGGGAAGCCAGAGGTTGCCCCTCCAAAGATGTTGGCACCCTGGGTGCTTAGCCCCCAGCTCCCAAATCCCTGCTGCTGCTGTTGCTGCTGTGCTGCTGCTGCTGCTGCTGCAGCGAAAAAGCCCCCCGACGCCGGCTGCTGCGCCGCCAGAGAGGCAAAGCCAGTCCCTTGTGAAGCAAATGCAGAAAAGCCACCTGAAACGGAACGCCGCATGCAGCAATGACAGAGCAAGGCCTCAGCAGCGTCAGGAGCAGCAGAAGCAGCAGCAGCAGCAACGGCAGCATAAGACCCAAACGAAGCAGCAGCAGCACAGGCGCAGCTGCTGCCCTGCGCCGCTCCAAAAGCGCTATCGACGCTGAAGCAAACAAGGCACCTAAGCAGCAGTGCCGCTGCTGCAGCGGGGCCAAAAGCTGCTGCAGGCGCTGCAGCGGGGCCGAAAGCTGCTGCAGCTGCTGCAGCGCGGCCAAAAGCTGCTGCAGCTGCTGCAGCGCGGCCAAAAGACACTAGACACAGCAGGCAACACAAAGAGCAGCAAATGACAGAGCCACTCACCTTGCTGCTGGTTGTTAGAAAAGGCCGACCGAGTTGCTGACATATCGGGCCCTCCTCCCAGCTGCACGTCGCCCAGGCCGCTGCTGTTGCTGGACTGCAGCAAACAGGCATAGAGACCAAAAGGAAGCAGCAAGTTAGCTGCTGCAGCAGCTGCTGCAGCAGCTGCTGCAACAGCTGCTGCGACTGCTGCTTCAGCTGGCAGCAACTGCAGAAGCTTAAAGGCAGCGTCAGCAGCAAAGCCAGCGCAGGCGAAACTCACCAGCCCGAAGTTGTATGTTTGGCGCTGCCCCACTGACAAGTCGCTGACATTAATGTTGCCGAACGAAATGCTCGGTTGCTGCTGCTGCTGTTGCGGCTGCTGCTGGGAGAAAAGAGAGCTGCCAAAAGGAGAGGCAGCGCCTGCTTGGGCTCTTCCCGCTGCTGCAGCGGCAGCTGCTCCAGTATCGCCACCGCCGCCACTGCTGCTGCTGCTTCCAAATATGCCGGGCCCCAGGATTCCCACAAGCCCGCCCTGGGGGGCCCCCTGTGAGGCACTTCCCCCAAAGGGCCCACTGGAGCTGAAGGGCCCCGAGGCTAGTGCAGATCCTTCGAAGCCCGAAGCCTGCGTCGCTGGTGCTGCTGCCAAGCTCTGCCCGATGCTTTTAATGTCTAATGGCTTGCTGCTGTTGCTGCTGCTGCCGAAGCCCCCGCTGAACAGACTTGGAGGCTGGCCCGACGTCTGTGGAGTGCTGCTGCTGCTGCTGCCGAAGAGGCCTCCGCCGCTGCTGCTGCTGCCGAAGAGGTCGCCACCGCCGCTGCTGCTGCCGAAGATGCCCCCACCAGCACCGCTGCTGCCGCTGCTGCTGCCAAAGAGGCCACCACCGCCGCTGCTGCTGCCGAATAGGCCACCCTCTTTGCCGGCCTCGGTTTTGCCAAAGACTCCCCCGCTGCTGCTGCCGAATACGCCACCCTCTCTGCCGGCTTCGGTCTTGCCAAAGAGCATCCCGCTGCTGCTGCTGCTGCTGCTGCTGCTGCCGAAAAGGCCACCAGAGCTCCCGCTCTCGGAGCCCCCCTTGGCGCTGGGCTGACTGAGAGTCCCGAACGGCGACATGAAGGAACTGCTGTCGCCTTTGGCAGCAGCAGGAGCAGCACTTTCTTCTGCTGCTCTTCCGTCGCTGCTGCCAGCGCCCCCTGCCTCTTTGGGGGCACCCCCCACGGCCTCCTTGGGGGCCCCCTCGCCATCCTTGGGCTTCTCCGAGGCCGCCTTCGCCGGCTCCCGCACCGCCGCAGCCTTCGTAGGGTCTGGGGGCAGCAGAGCTTTGCTGGGCTCTGGAGGCAATACAGCTTTCGTGGGGTCTGGGGGCAATACAGCTTTTGTGGGATCTGGAGGCAATACAGCTTTTGTGGGATCTGGAGGCAGTACAGCTTTCGTGGGATCTGGAGGCAATACAGCTTTCGTGGGATCTGGGGGCAATACAGCTTTCGTGGGATCTGGAGGCAATACAGCTTTCGTGGGATCTGGGGGCAATACAGCTTTCGTGGGATCTGGAGGCAGTACAGCTTTCGTGGGATCTGGGGGCAATACAGCTTTCGTGGGATCTGGAGGCAATACAGCTTTCGTGGGATCTGGAGGCAATACAGCTTTCGTGGGATCTGGAGGCAATACAGCTTTCGTGGGATCTGGGGGTAATGCAGCTTTTGTACTGCTTGAAGGCAATACAGCTTTCGTGGGATCTGGAGGCAGTACAGCTTTTGCTGGACTTGGGGGAAGTACAGCTTTCGTAGGATCTGGAGGCAATACAGCTTTCGTGGGATCTGGAGGCAGCACAGCTTTTGCGGGAGCTCGAGGAAGCAAAGCCTTAGTGGGGTCTGGGGGCATTGGGGCCGCTGTGGGGGGGCTGGGTGAAGTTTCTGCTGCTGCTGCTGCTGCTGCTGCTTTTGCCTTGGGGGCACTTCCTGGGGGGGCTGGCTGAGTCTGTGGGGGGCCCGCTGCTGTTTTGGGGAGCTCCCCTGGGGCCTCTGCCTCTTTCGCAGCAGCAGGCAGCAGCAGGGCCCCTGGGGGCCTCGCAAGGGCAGCACTAGGGCTGTCGCTCTCGGAAATATCCCCCGCCAGCTCGTTGCTGTCGCTGCACACACCACCGCCCCTTCTGCTGCTGCTGCTGCTGCTGCCGCGCCCGTAGCTGCTGAGGGATTCTCTGCAGCTGCTGCTCTCGCTGCTTCTGCTGCGGCTACTGCGGCTGCTACTGCGGCTGCTACTGCGGCTGCTACTGCTGCTGAGGCACTCCACATCGCTCCAGCCTTCTAGGCTGCTGCCTAACGTTTCCCACTCAGTGTCCAGCTCTCCCTCTTGCTGCAGCTCTGCTGCGGTGTCTCCTTCAGCTCCCCCTGGAGAGAAACCTGCTTGCTGTTGCTGCTGCTGCTGCAGCCGCTGCAGCAGCGCACGGCGGCCGGCTGCCTCTCGCGCGCGGGAAGCAGCCTCCTCCTGTAGCAGCTGCTGCACCAGCTGCAGCGGAGATGTGGGTTCCGGAGACTTGAAGGCATCTGCTGCGCCCGCAGGGGAGAGGGCAGACTGCAGCTGCAGCTGCAGCGACTGCTGCTGCTGCTGCTGCTGCACCAACTGCGCTAGCTCCTCTGACTCTGCACAAGGGTGCTTCTGAGGTGGGAGCATCATCGTGGCCTGCTGCTCCACAGCAGAAAGAGATTCTTCCAGAGTAGCAGCATCCTGCTGCAGGCGCCTGCAGCAAGCAGCAGCAGCAGCAGCAACAGAACACATCATGCCCAACCGTTTCGCATAACCCTAAGAACTCAAGAAGATGCACAGCAGCAGCAGCAGCAGCAGCACAAGTCAGCAAAGCATCACCTGGCTCTCTGCATCAGCTCGAAGATAGCATTCTGCTTCTCTTGCAGCAGCAGCAGTTGGTGCTGCTCTCCCTGCTGCTGCTGCTCTCCCTGCTGCTTGCAGCTGGCAGCACGAGCATCCTGCGCTGATGCTGACTCCGGTGCTGCTGCTGCAGCTTCCGCAGCGCCTTCGTTGCTGCAAATGAAAAGTGACTCCCTCATGCGACTTCCCAGTGTCTGTACAGCTTGAGCAACATCTTGCTCTGCTGCTGCACCGCGGCCCGCCTCTCCTGCTGCCTCTGCTGCTGCTGCGGCGGACCGACATTCACTGGCCTGCTGCTGCAGCGGCTCCTCCGTCTTCGCCTCTAGAAAACTGGAAGGCAACATGAAGCGAGCGCCGGGTCTGCACGGTTGCCTGCTGCTGCTGCTACTGCTGCTGCTGTGGCTGCTTTTCGCAGCAGGTGGCGCCTGCATGGCTGGCTGCTGTTGCTGCTGCAGCAGCTGCTGCTGCGAATGTGTCGCGTCTGGGATCGCATCGCCAATAGCCTCCAAGGCCAAAGCGTCAGCGCGGCTTAGCAGCAGCTGCACCCGCCGCTGCTGCTGCATCACTGCAGCACCGAGGCTGCAGAAGCACAACAACACACTGCAGCAGCCGCTGCAGCATGAACTGCAGCTGCAGCACGAGCAGCAAGCACTGCAGCAGACACGGGACACGGAGAAGGAAAACTAGCAGTGTGAGGGGCGGCAGGAAATGCAGCAGCAGCAGCAAGAGGGTAGAAAGTACCGCTGCAGCTCCTGCTCCATTTGCTGCGCATCGTGAGGCGGCAACTCTCGCATGCTCTCAGTCAGCGCCAGCTGCTCTTCATAAAGCTGTACTTGCATTAATTGCTGCTGCTGCAGGCGCAGCAGCAGCTGCCGCAGCTGCCGAGCCCGCTCTTTCACAGCCAGCCGCTGCTGCTGCCTTTCCTCTAGCGAAGAGCCACCAGCAGCAGAAGGCAGAAGCAGCGCAACGTCCTCCAAGTGCTGCTGCTCGTCAGCCATGAGAGCCAAAAGGCTGTCGCCTTCTTGCAGCTCCTGCTGCAGCAGCTGCTGCTGCACCAACAGCCTGCTGAGAATGCGCCGCACTCTGCCGCTTGCCTTGGCCTGCGTCTCCTCCGTGTCTTGAAGGTGGGACACGCGCTGCAGCAGCAACTGCTGCTGCTGTTGTAGCTGCTGTACTGCCGCCTGCAGCCCCGCCACCTGCGAAGCCAAGGTAGGCTGCTGCTGCTGCTGCTGCTGCTGCTGCTCTACCTGATGCCGGTCAACTTGCTGCTGCTGCTGCCGCAGCTGCTGCCTGAGTGAATCCCGTGCTGCAGTGCAGCAAACCTCAGACGCAGCTAGGCGCCACTCAAATGCACGCAGAGCAGCAGTAAGAGGAGCAGCAACAGCAGCAGCGAGAGACCCACGGGCACCAAAGAGCTCTTCGCCGTCGGCCACCTGCAAAGACACCACGCAGCTGGCAGCAACAGCAGCGCAGGCATCTGAAGCAAAAGCAACAGCAGCCGCACTAACAGCAGCAGCAGCAGCGCGGACAGGAGCCGGCAACAGGGCCACCAGCAGCAGCCACTGCTGCCCTGCAGCAGCAGCAGCAGCAGCAGCAGCAAAAACAAACCTGTCTTAGAAGCTCCGACACCTCCAGGTGTTCTGGAGAGGACTGCAGCCGCTGCCGCCATCTGCTGAGCACGCTTCTGCTGTTGCTGCTGCTGCTGCGTCTGGACACAGCAGCACGCAGCGCCTGCCCTGCTGCAGCAAGAGTGGCTTCCCTCGCTGCTTTGCTGCTGCCGCTCCAGCGCTCCTCGTCTGCAGCAGCAGCACGGCTGCTGCTATGCTTGCTGCGCCTTTCTTCTTTGTGCTTGCTCTGCCTGCTGCTGCTCTTCCCAGCGCTGCTGCTGCCATGCCGCATCCCGTGTGTAGCCTGTCTGCTGCTGCTGCTGCTGCTCCTCCTACCACTCTTGGTGCTGCCTGGCTCTTTGCTGTGGCTCCGTGCCTTATGTCCTTTGCTGCTCGTGCTGCCCTTCCTGCGGCTGCTGCGGTGCTTGCTGCTGCTGCTGCTGCTGCTGCTGCCGCTGCTCCCGGGCTTTTCGCCGGAAGCATCCACCACCTTCGCCTCCTGCTTCAGCGGTTGCTTCCCAGAGAGCCGTTGCAGCCACAACTTCATTTGCTGCTGGTCTTGCTGCTGCGGGTGCTGCTGCAGCGGCGGCAGCAGCGGAATCTCTACAGACTCCGTGTCTCTCACCACGGCCAAACAGCGGTCAGCGAAGTGGACAGTCACCTCTCCTGCAGCCAGATGAGCAGCAGCAGGTGCAGCAGCAGCAGCAGGTGCAGCAGCAGCGACCGAAGCAGCAGCAGCTGCAGCCGCAGCTGCCACCGCAGGAGCAACAAAGTGCCGCCACAACAGCAGCAGGAGCAGCAGCAGCAGCCACCAAAAACGCAGCAACTGCAGCAGCTGCTGCCGCTACAGCAGCACCAAATGCAAAGCCTGCAGCAGTGGCTGCCGCCAGGCATATACGCAAGCGCGCAGCGGACAGCTCCACCAACGGGGACCTTCTTGATCAGAGGGCCAGCGCTAAACCCTAAACCCTAAACCCTAAACCCTCGGCAGCCAGCCCTAGGCGCTTACCTGTCGACTCGGCGATGAAGAAGACAGCAGGGGAGGTCAGGAGGGGCGTATCAGCATCGGCCTGGGGCACAGCAGCCAAAAAGCAACCCTAATCCTAAACCCTAAACCCTAAACCCTAAACCCTAAGCGCTGATATGTCTGCAACGAGCAGCAGCCGCCTGCAGCAGATTCGCAGGCGCTGCTGGTGGCGGAGCCGCCCCACGAGGAAACGCACAACGAGGGTTTAGGGTTTAGGGTTTAGGGTTTGGCGCTTGCCGCTGACCCCGTCTCTCATAACCCCGTCAGTGAAGCCCGTGAAAACCCCCAAGCCCAAAGGCCCCGCCTCTTCGTCTGCTGTCTCGAGGCCCTTCCCCTCCGCCAATAAAACGGAGCTCCAAAAAGAAGAAGCTGCGAGAGGCAAACACCCACAAGCCGTCACGCGCTGCTGTGGCTGCTGCTGCTGGTGTGGCTGCTGCTGCTGGTGTGGCTGCTGCTGCTGGTGTGGCTGTTGCTGCTGGTGTGGCTGCTGCTGCTGGTGTGGCTGCTGCTGCTGGTGTGGCTGCTGTTGCTGCTGTGGCTGCGGCTGCTGCTGTCGCTGCTACGGCTGCTGTGGCTGCTGCTGCTGCTGTGGCTGCGGCTGCTGCTGTGGCTGCTGCTGCAGCAGCCCTACCTTTTGCTTCTTCCTGACTGTCGCCCCAGGAGAGCCTTTTGCTGCTGCCTTGTGGCTGGCGCACGAAGGCGTCGCAGACAAAGAGTGAGAGCTGCGTGGTGTCTGTACACCTCACGCACACTGCTCCCCAGTCCCACAGCGGGACAAAAGCAGCACTTGTTGTTGTTCTCACCCGCCCAAGGTAGATCTGCAGCAGCAGCAGCAGCAGCAGCGCAGCAGCAGCAAACGCCGTGAAGCAGCAGCGGCAGCTGCCCGCAGGAGCTGACCCAGGCTGTCCGAATGGAAGCCGCAGCTCTTGAAGGCATGGGCAGCAGCTAGCAGCAGCAGCGCCGCAATGCGCAGCAGCAGCAGCAGCTGCAGCAACTCGCCTCGTTTAAAGCTGCCGCAATCGGCATAAGTTGAAGCTCCTTCGGTGCTTCTGCTGCTTCGATTTTGGCAAAGAGCAGCAAAGAAGAAAACTGCGCATCCTCTACCTCGAGATAAGCGTCCTCTTCAGCAGCGCTTGCAAACTGCTGCTGCTGCTGCTGCTGCTGCTGCTGCACCTGCTGCTGCTGCTGCCCTTCCTCGAATTCTTCTACGTCTGCCTGCCGCACTGCAAACAAAGCTGCTAGGAAGGGACCAGCAGCAGCAGCAGCTTCGTCGCTGCCCGCAGCAGAAAAGCCAGGGGATAACCAAGAGAGGCCTAAGCAGCGGCCCTTGCTGAAGCACAGCCACGTCGCAGCAGCAGCAGCAGCAGCTGATGCAGCAGCAAAGCCAAGGGGGAAGCCAGACCTTGGGCTAGAGCAGCAGCAGCAGCACGAGCAGCAGCAGCAGCACGTGCAGCAGCTGCAGCACGCGGTGCGCACCCTTTAGAAATGACTGCTGCTTCCGAGTCCAGCGGGCCGTACAGGCCAGAGATGTCAACACGAGCCAGCGACAAATCGCTGCTGCAGCAGAAGCTGCTGCTGCTGCTGCTGCTGCTGCCACTCTTCAGAGCCCAGAGAGCCAAAGGACTGCTGGAGCAGAGCAGAGCCACAGTCTGCTTCAAGGGCCCCTCCTTGCCAAGCTCGGTGACCCCGGTAAGTGCTGCAGCAGCAGCAGCAGCAGCAGCAGCAGCAGCACGGCATGCAGAACGTGCAAAGAGCGAACGCACGGGCAGAAAGCATACCGTGGAACCGTATGCTGCTGCGCTGCAGCAGCAGCAGCAGCAGCGCTCGCAGCAGCAGCAACAGCAGCGGCAGCAGCAGCGGCAGCAGCAACAGCTGCAGCAGCAGAAGTAAAAACAAACACACAGGAAATCCTCAGCTCCGGAGACACCACAAGGTGCACATCTCCCTCCCCATCAGCAATGAAGAGGCCGCTGCTGTAGGTATTCAGCAGCAGCCGCCCATCTCCTGCAGCAGCAGCAGCAGCAGCAGCAGCAAAAGCAGCAGCAGCTGATCCAGCGCCTGCTCGCGCTGGCAGGGGGCTCAAAGAAGCTCTCCAAGAAGCAGCAGTGAGGCGAAGCACCAGCAGCAAAAGCAGCATCAAGGCAAGCAAACAGCAGCAGCAGCAGCAGCAGCAGCAGCACCTGTCCAGGCAATGCCAGTAATGTCCTCGGGCAGCACGGCTGCCTCAATCCGCGGCGACGAGGGTGAGAGACAAGATGCTGCTGCTGCCTCTGCTGCAGCTGCTGCTGCTGCTGCTGCTGCTGCTTCGGGGGCTTTTGCGCAGGCCCCCACCTGCAGCACCAGCGCCCGCCTGCCAGCAGCAACTCCTAGAAAGCGGCAGCAGCTGCTGAGCAGCAGCGCCGTCACTTCACTCTCCAGCTGCAGCAAAAAGGCAGGCGAAACACGCGGGCAACTAGCAGCAGCAGCAGCAGCAGCAGCAGCAGAAGCAGCAGCAGCAGCAACTCTCGCTGCGGCGGCAGGCAGTGCGCGGCGCCGTGGGTTTCCCGCTGCTCAGGTGCGACAGAAGTGCGGCGTCAGCGAACTAGCCACAGCAGCAGCACCACATGCAGCAGCAGAGGCAGCAGCAGCAGCAGCAGCAGCAACGGCAGCAGCAGCAGCAACGGCAGCAGCAAAACAAACCTCTATAGGCGGGTGGCGAAGCTGGAGAAGTCCTCGAGCAGCAGAGACAGCGCAATAAGGGAAAACGCGACTTCCGCATCCCAGAGCCAGCAGGCTGCAGCAGTGCAGCACGCACAAGTTGCTGCTGGCCTTGCTGCTGCTGCTGCTGCTGCTGCTGCTGCTGCTCTCGACAGAAAGCCTGTAGGCTGCGACAGAAGACAGAAGAGAGACGGGCAGAGGGGCTCTCGCCTCAGCAAAACCTCAATCATGCTTCAAGCAGCAGCAGCAGCAGCAGCAGCAGCAGCAGCAGCAGCAGGTGCTGACCGTGTTGGAATTTGAGAGACCGGCAGTCCTCATAACAATCCATAAAGTACGCTTCCTCCATCTTGAGTGCTGCAGCTGCAGCTGCTTCGCAACGACAGCGCTGCTGCTGCTGCTGCTGCTGCTGCGGAGGCTGCTGCAGCTTCACGTGCCGCTAGCGCCCCTGCTGCTGCTACTGATGCTGCTGCTTGCACAGAAAGTGCTGCTCATGGAAAGGCATTCGAGGCACGCAGCAGAGCTGACACCTCGGACGCGTCGCTTTGCAGGGCCGCCAACAGCAGCAGCAGAAGCAGCAGCAGCATGGATGGCTGCTTGATATGGACCCCTCTTACGCCCCCGTTCACTGCTGTGCTGCTGCCGGTTTCCTTTGCTGCAGCAGCTGAGGGACCTTGGAGGTGCAAGGCCTCACGGGGGGCCCCACGAAGGCAGCTGCTGCTGCTATGGAAGCAGCAGCAGCAACAGCAATTGCTCTACACTAGCTTTAAATGCGCCTCAAATCGTAAAATTATTACTGCAGTGATTGCCGGTGGTGTGGCGGTCTCTGCAAGGCTAGTAAGAACAGCACGGAAACGGTACAGAGGCCCCGAGTCGTTTGCTGCTGCTGCTGCTGCTGCTGCTCTTGCCATTCAGCATGCCGAGATGCCGATGTTCCTATAGAGTGAAGCCGTTTGGTTAAAAAGCTGCTTAAGCATTAATAATGCCTTTTAAGGTATAACATTTCTATATATGCACATACTTACTGCTGCTTTTGCTGCTATTGCTGCTGCTGCCTGTGCCGTTGTTGCCGTAGCTGCCTTCCGCCGACTCAAAAACAGCGAGTTGCTGCGCAGCAGCAGCAGCAGCAGCAGCAGCAAGAACCTTACCGCCCGCGCCTATTTCAAAAATATTGATTCTCTTCAAGAGGCCTCAATAGGACCTCCTTTGCAGCTCGCAGGAATGTAATTTGGCTTGCTGCTAGTGCTGCTGCTGCTGCCACTGCTGCTGCTCGAAGTTCGAATGCAGCCGTTGCACTGGGAAAATAACAACCCAGAGAAGCTGCAGCACAACCTCAAGCAGGAGACAGGCCTTTTAAAGTCGGTACTTCATCTTGCCACCCGCTGCTTGCCTTCGTGACCTCTCCAGCAGCAGCAGCAGCTGCTGCAGCGGCGGAGAAGGCGGCAGCGACACACCCGCAGCAGCAGCAACTTTTCCCGCCATTACTTCTTTTTCAATCAAAGTGACTTCCCTTGAGGACGGGGCGCCAGCGCCGGCGTCGAATGCCGTCCGGCAGCAGCAGCAGCAGCAGCAGCAGCAGCAGCAGCAACTACGCATCGAATTCACCTGTAGCCGGTCTCCCAACTGGGCAGCAGCAGACCGCTAAAGAGCAGCAGCCGTATGAAGAGCAGCGGCAGCAGCTACGCAGCGAACGCAGCTATTGTTTACCGCGCATCTGAGCAGCAGCGGACACTTGGCAGCAAGTGGTTGACTTTCAGCAGCAGCAGCAGCAGCAGCAGCAGCAGCAAGGCTGCTTGCGGAAGGTCAGGCCCCCACTGGGGCTACTGAAGCAGGTACAGCAGCAGCAGCAGCACAAGCAGCAAAAGCTGCACCTCGCGGCGCTACGATGCAGCAGCAGGACGCCAGAACAGTTTTGTCGGCGCCTGAGCTTTCTCATGACAGGTTTTTGAAGGTACTCCTGCTGCTGCTGCAGTTGCTGCTGCAGTTGCTGCTGCAGTTGCTGCTGCAGTTGCTGCTGCAGTTGATGCTGCCGTTGCTGCTGTTGCTGCTGTTTGAGCTGCTGCTGGCTGCTTCAGACACTGCCGCGGCTTTCTGGGGCGGGTACCTGTCCCGTTGCTGCTGCCCTGCTGCACCTTCAGCGGCCCCTGCTGCTGCCCAGTTTGCTGCTGCTGCTGTTGCTGCTGCTGCTATTGCTGCTGCTGCTGACCCCAAATTACGTGTTTTGCTGCTGCGTTTGATTCTTCAGCGTTTAAACGAAACTCAGGAGCGCAACTTTTATTACTCTTCCCAGTAAGTCCGAAAGTGCTGCTGCAGCAGAGCAGCAAAGGGCTGCTGCAGGTCGCTGTTGCAGCGCTGCAGCACTGCAGCAGCAGCAAATGCTGCAGCTGCCGCTGCGCTTTTGTTTGGCCGTGCAGCACAGTCTTCTGCTTTCATTGACGTCTAGAGCAGCACATACCGCTGCTGCTGCTGCTGTTGCTGCTGCTTTTGCTGCTGCTGCTGCAGGCATTCAGCAGCTAGTGGTGCTGCCACTCCGAAGCAGCAGCTGCAGGATAGTATGAAGGCTGAGCACTACATGAGTGCCGCCGCAGCTCCTTCTTTGTTGCATGCGGTGCAGCAACACAGTCAGCAGCAGCAGCAGCAGCTTCTGCAGCAGGAGCACCAAATGTGGGATTCCTCGCTGCTGCCGCCGCAGCTGCTGCCGCCGCAGCTGCTGCCGCCGCAGCTGCTGCAGCAGCAGCTGCAGCAGCAGCAGCAGCAGCCGCAGCTGGGGCAGCGGCGCTTCTCCTTCGCTCCCGGCGGATTAGACGTTTATTATTATATTCCAGTTCGCCGCGCTTCAGACGGCATAGTGGGGACAGCAGCGCAGCAGCAGCTGCATCAGCAGCTGCTGCAGCAGCAGCTGCATCAGCAGCTGCTGCAGCAGCAGCAGCAGCAGCAGCAGCAGCAGCAAGGTGGCATGCATGTGAGGGTGCAGAAGCAGGGAAACTGCTTCACGTGGCTTCCAGCTGAAGGTCACTTCTACTCTCCTCTAGAGTCGCTTAGGCAGCAGCAGGAGATACAGCAGCAGCTGCAGCAGCAGCTGAAGCAGCAAATAGAGAAACAGATGGAGAGGGACAAGCTAGAGCAGCAGAAGCGAAATCTGCAGCTGCAGTGGAAGCTGCAGCAGCAACTGAAGCAGCAGCAGCGAGAGCAGCAGCAGCAGCAACAAGCCCTGCTGCTAAGTCAGCTGCGACAGAAAGAGCTCCGAAGCTTTCACATATACTCTGACGGAGTAGGCGAGGTGCCGCAGCTTCCTCAGCAGCAGCAGCAGCAGAAGCAGCAGCAGCAGCAGGAACAGCAGCGTTGTCCGCAGCAGCCGACGCATATTGATGGGCTGTGCGAGGCGAACCGCGCCGCTGCTGCTGCTGCTGCTGCTGCTGCTGCTGCTACGCTTGATGATGACGACGGCTGCAGCACCAGCAGAAGGTCCTCAGACACAGGGCCTTGCTGCGGCATAGGGGCAGCCCTCCCAGCTTTCCTTCAGCAGAAGCTGCAGCAGCAGCAGCAGAAGCAGCAGCAGCAGCAGCAGCAGCAGCAGCAGCAGCGGCAGCAGCCAAACGTGCTGCTGCACATTGCAGAGTGGCCGGTGAAGCCGCCCGAGGCGAGCCCAGACCCGACTGTGGAGCTGCTGCGGCAGAAGGTGGAGCGGCAGGAGCAGCTGGTGCAGCAGCAAGAAGTGCAGCAGCAGCTGCTGCGCCGCCAAGTTGAGGCACTGCAGCAAAGGGCACGCCTGGAAGCTCATCATTTGGAGAAGCTGCTGCAGCAGCAGCCAGTTGCGGGCCCTGAGGAGGAGCCTGCGCTGGACGTTTCGACTCCCGAGAGCCAGCAGCGGGAGCAGCAGCAGCAGCAGGAGAAGCAGCAGAAGGCGCAGCAGCAGCAAGTGCAGCAGCAGCAGCTGCAGCAGCAGCTGCAGCAGCAGCTGCAGCAGCAGCTCCAGCAGCAACGGAAACTGGAGCAGGAGCTGCAGCAGAAGCAGCAGCTGCAAAACAACGTGCATGCTGCACGCGGAAGCACAAGTGAGCTGCCACTGAAGCAGCAGCAGCAGCTGCAGCAGCAAAAGCAGCAGAGAGCCGCTGCGGCAGACCTCAGGAGACACGAAGCATCCCTTGCTGCTGCTGCTGCTGCTGCTGCTTTTGTCTGCAGCTAATGCGTCCCAGATCATCGCAAGTGGCCCTCCGCAAGTGAGACTGGCTGTAGCAAAGTGCTGCTGCTGCTTCGGGGTGCTGCTTCTCTACGCAGCTAAAGCTATCGCTGCTGCTGCTGCTGCTGCTGCTGGTGTTGCTGCTGTTGCTGCTGCTGCCGCTTTGTTGGCCCCGAGGATTGTATTGCTATGGGCGGTTTGCTGCTGCTGTTGGTGCGCTTTTGCAGCTCATGACCCCCGCATTCTGCTGCTGCTGCTGCTGCTGCTGCTGCTTCTGCTGTTCGCCGCAGAGCCTTCAAGAAACTTTCCCAGTAGAAATTTACCACCTGGACCGCGAAGAGTCCCCGGGGGGCCCCCGGGGGGCCCCCGGGGCCCCTGGGGTTGGGGGGCCCCCCGGGCGGCAGCCAACTTGCGACATTTTCGACTTGTCAGAAGACATGGGAGTGCTGCCGCTGCAGTCTGCTGCTGTTGCTGCTGCTGCTGACGACTGGCTGCTGCTCACTGGCTGCGGCAGCGGCGCTGCGGGGCAGCCCCAGTACCCCACAGAGGCGCAGCTGCACGGCTCTGCGAATTCGCACACAGACACAGAGACGGACACAGCAGCAGCAGCAGCAGCAGCAGCAGCAGCAGCAGCCTCCAACACTTCCCCTTCATCATTACAGGAAAGCCCGGAGGAGGACTTGAGCCCGCAGGACACTGTGAGGAGACTGTCAGGACGCGGCTCATTCGGTGGGGTGGAACCTGCTGCTGCTGCTGCTGTTGCTGCTGCTGTTGCTGCTGCTTTTGTTCTTGCTGCTGCTGCTGTTGCTGCTGCGGCGGCTGCTATTGCTGCTGGATGCTGCCTTTGCTGCCACTGCTGCTGGATGTGTTCTTGGTGCTGCTTGTC